GGTGTTTTTACCCTCAATTTGCATAATAAGAGAAGAAGAGGGCGGACTCCCTATAAGTCCCGTGGTTTTTATCCTTCACATCGAAGGGGTTTTCCACGTATAAAAATCGTGTGTCGTTTGCATCTTTATTCTTCATATTTGATTGTGGTTTATTTGATGTGCTGCTGATTTTGTGTGCTTGGTTAATCAATTGTGGTAATTTGGGTCAAGAGTGTTTGGTTGGTTGTCTTGAAATTGATCCTTGTAGGTGCATCCTACTTGTTACTTCTCTCCCAACACAAAGTATAACACAGTTTGATAAAAAAGTCAAAGTAAAATGAATACTTTCCAGTGTACAGAGTGATCGTGGAGGGCGGGAAGTTAGTTTACAAGGAGAGTGCTCTCTCCTGACCACAGAAGAAGGGTCAAAATGGATATTTGTGCTCAGCACTACAAGGGCTCTTTATGTGGGGAAGAAAAAGAAGGGTGTTTTTCAGCACTCCAGTTTTCAGGTTTCTCTCTGGACTGCCACTTCTGTTGCTGGTAGACTCGTTGCTCATGCTGGGATTCTTCAGGTATTTATATATTGTTTCCCAATTCTATGGATTTGTTTTCTCTCATGTTATGAATGCTGTTTAGAACAACAAAATGTTGTTAAAAAGATAAAACGGACTCAACTAAAAACTCAAAATTGTTATTATTGAAAGCTCCAGAATGGTTTTGGAAAAGAGTTAGGGATTACCCTCAACCCCACAATTAGCTATCATAATTTAATAATTTATCTTAAGATATTAAAATATACAGAGTCTAACATTGCCATCCTTTGTGTTTAGGCAATTTGGCCATACAGCGGGCATTATTTGCCGACAGAAGACAACTTCAAGGAATTCATCACATTTCTTGAGAAGCACAAAGTTGATTTGACCAATGTCAAGGTAATATTGGAAATAAATATACTCCCTCTTATCCCAAACTAAAATCCCTTTACAGTTTGACTTTTACAGAGTATAAAAATAATGTCGAAAAGTAAAATATGGAATTGTATAAATAATTCTTTGTGACGTCGAAAGTGTAAATGATTTTTTTGGGATGAAAGGATTATGCATACACACCCTATCCACTTGACAAGGGATTGACTTTAAAGACTTTTGGATTATGCAGAGGTGCTCTATAGATGATTATGATGGGCTATCATCCGTTATCGACTCCGCCTTCACGGCGTTGAAGAAGGAGATGACCTGCTGCTATGAGACTTGACCCGCTGCTATGACTAAACTGGGGGCTGCTGCTACTACGGTTGTGTTTGCTGCTACTATGGCTGTGTTTGTATTTTGAACCCTTTTCAACAGGTTTTGAGCTGTTACTAATTATTATTTTATTGATGTAATTATATGATGTAGTCTAGGTTTAAACTTGTCTTTTATACACGTAACCATTATTATGGTTAAACATTTGACATTGATGTAGTTGTTTGATTACGGGTAATAATAATTTTCATGTTATCCTTGATTACCTGTGTTGTTAACATTAGCTCAAAGGCATCGGTTGTTTAGAAACAACCGATGCTAATACTTTTTTTAAATTAATAAAATAGCAAAGGCATCGGTTGTTTAGAAACAACCGATGCTAATACTTTTTTTTAAATTAATGAAATAGCAAAGGCATCGGTTGTTTAGAAACAACCGTTGCTAATACTCTTTTTTTAAATTAATGAAATAGCAAAGGCACCGGTTGTTTAGAAACAACCGATGCTAATACTCTTTTTTTAAATTAATAAAATAGCAAAGATATCGGTTGTTAGAAAATAACCGGTGCTAATACTCAATTTTTTAAATTAATAAAATAGCAAAGGCATCGGTTATTTCCAAAGTGATGCAATTGAATTGGACCAATTGCATCGCTGGCATTTACATCGGTACAAAACCGATGCTAAAGGTGTAAAACAACTGGTGCCTTTGCCCTTTTTTGTAGTAGTGTAAAGCATGTTTTATGTTGTTGTTTTTGAAGAAAACCCCCTAAATAGGAGTAAATCATTAACCATATACCCAAAATAAGAGTTCATAACTTATATACCCAAAATAAGAGTAATTAATTAAGCCCCTCACTCCTTATCCAATCCTTAGATCTGCTCCCTTCTCCTGTTCCCTTTCGATCCTTCTCTTCCATTGTTCATTCCTTCGACTCCCACCGTCACCGTGCCCCTTATCGCGATCACCGCTGCCCACCTCCTTTAACTCCGCCATCTAATTCTAGTACCATTATTGCCGTTGCCGCCATCTAATTCTAGTATTATCGCCGCTGCTGCCCCGACCCCTCTCAGATTCATACCCTACCCCCATCGTTCTCTCGCAAAGCCTTGATTTCAAGAATGACCAAGTTCTCTCTCGATCTTTAATTAAATTTTTTTTCCCTCCCTCAAAGCCTGATTTCAAAAGTAAGTAAGTTCTCTCTCGATCTTTGGTCGAATTTTATTTTCTTTATATTTTGTCACCAAAAAAATTGAGCAGTGGATGGGATTTGGTTTGGCGTCATGTCTTGTGACATTTGCGAATTCACATTGTGGCATTGTATGTGGGCATTTGTAGCATTATATATTGTCATGTATGACATTATATGGTGGCATGTTTGCCATTAGATGTTGTCATGGATGATATTATGTGGTGTCATGTTTGTCATCATACACTTATTTGGCATTAGATTCGGTTTGGCATTATGCTCCTGAATTCATATTGTGGCATTATTTATTGTCATGTGTAGTAATATGTGATGTCATGTTTGTCTTTCTGTAACACTATATTGACAATTAATGAAGAATGTGACAATAATTATGCAAATTGTAATGCAAGTATCTTAAATGCATATGTGACCATATCACGTGTGAAATCACAAGCATAATGTCAAACATCTATTATTCTTCGAAAGTGAATTCACAAGTATTCGCTTTCGAAGAACAAGAACTAAATATGACTAAAATAATTTTGACTAAACAGGGCTTGAAGAAGTAGGCAGAGCACAAAATGAAGAGAAGTCATGTAGTAGTTAACATTTGGGCTGAAAAGTCTGTGGTCTCTTGGTCCAAAGGGAGCATTCGGCCAAGGTATTTAGGTCATGCTAAGACTTCAATTTTGATTTCTTTTACCGGTAAAATTCACACACAAACAAATTTTTTAACCCCAAGAGATCTTTCAACTCCTATTTCAGTATTTTAGGGATAATGTCTTTCAACTCTTATTTTGGGGTTTGATCAATGTTTTACTCCTATTTTGGTTCTTAACCCTTGTTTTTGTCATTGTGATGTGATTTGTAAACATATACTCTCTCAGTCCACCTAAGATCTTCTCATTGCGCGTTACGAGGCTTGACCGACTTTATTTTCAATTCAATTTATTTGAATATAGGGGTAAAATTTTAATATAAAATCTATGTAGTAATAAACTACATGAAAAATTCTATAAAAGTAAATGTGACAACACTATATTATTTTATGAAATAAATAGTAAAAATAAACAAATAAAATGAATTAAGTTTGACCCTATGAATAGTGTCTGGAAAGACCTATAGTGGATAGAGGGAGTAATATAGTATCCTCCATTCTCTTCTCTATCCAAAATTTACATTTACACTATCTTTGTTCTATCTTTGTCTCATTTTACTCTACAAATTTAATGTCAATTAATTTCAAAGTCTTTTATTACTTTTGTGATTCTTTCTTTGTGTTTATTGTTGGCTCCAACTAATTAACATTGTTATAGTTTATGTTGGCATTATTTTTTGACAAAACCCTTCTGTAGAACTGGTAGTATATCTGTGCTAGGATAAGAGCTGTAGCATCCTGTCAGTCATGTTATAGAGTTTCTATACGAGATGGACTCTGAGTATATCGAGTTGTATATGTCAAGAAGGGTTCGTAAAGTGTCCAGCATCAAGAGGAACTACTTCAAGTTGGCGTCTTCCTGAACACGTGCGAAATAAGCAATGCAAATCTACGGAAGAAGTCATGCCGCGCTAGGAGTGCCTGGTGTTCAAGCTTATCATTTGAAGAGTTCCATACTATCTCCACTAGTGTTATGGACGGCCTATAAAGAGAGACAGCCGTGGAGGAAAAACTGACGCAGAAGCATATTAATAATACCAAAAGAGAGAGCGTGAGATCACTACGATTCTGATCGAAACAAAACTGTGAGAGATTTGCATGAGAAGATCAGTCATGGATCTTCTCTAGATATTGTTCAGCTGTTGCAACCTGGTTGGTTGAGCAAGGGTTAGAAACACATCCTTCGTGCAGAGCAAGAAGAAGGTGTAATAGGCCTGGTGAAGACACAAACCGAGTTTGCTGTCAGATCTCGTAAGTAGACAAATCAGATTCATTAGAAGGTTCTATTGAAGTTTGATAGTGTAATTCTTACGTTGATCTAGTGGAAAGGCTATTACACGGATGTGGGCCTCGCTGACGTAGGAGATACTGCTCCGAACTGCGTAAACAAATCTCTGTGTCTTGGTGTGTTTAATTTTCTGCTTGTGTGTGTGACTGTTGAAAAAGGGGTTGCAGCATCCTGCGTTTCTAGAGCTGCCACACTTCTTTCAAGAGTGTTATATGTTTGCATCTGTTTGGCGTTGTGTTTAGTTTCTTGTGAGTATTGGATTTTCAATTGGTCTCAGAGCTTGTTGAGCTTAAGTTATTAGCTTTCAACGATCACAAATTCTGGGAGACATGGAGGAAGGAGCCAGTGTTTCCAGGCCACCCTTGTTGCGTGGTCACAACTACAAGTTCTGGAAAGGGCGTATGAGGGCTTTCCTGAAATCACAAGGAGGAGGAGTATGGAGAACTGTGGAAACTGGCTGGACAGAACCAGTAAAACATTCAGATGATCTGTCTACAACTACTGTCAAGAAATTTGAAGACTATAGCAGAACTGAAGTCCTTGCTGCTGAGCATAATGATAAAGCCTTAAATGCCATTTTTGGTGCAGTTGATGTCACACAATATCGTCTCATCTCAAACTGTGTTAGTGCAAAGGAAGCATGGGATATTCTTGAAGTCACACATGAAGGTGATGAGAAGGTCAAAACTACAAAGTATCAGATTCTCATGACACAATATGAAAATCTACGAATGGATGAGAAAGAAACTATCGTAGAATTCCATGGAAGAGTCTGTGACCTTGCAAATCAAGCAGCCAGATTACAAGAGCCGTTTCCAGAATCAAAACTTGTTCTAAAGGTGCTGAGATCACTACCAGAGAGGTTTGATTTGGATGTCAAGGCAATCTCTCAATCACATGATGCAAAAAAGATGACTCTTGATGCTTTAATGGGTAATCTTGAAACAATTGAACTAAACATGAAGGAGGATAGCAAGAGACGAAAACCAGAGAAGCAAATCGCCTTTCTAGGAACAGATCTGGAGAATGATAATGAAGATGTTTTAGCATTTGATGAAGAATTCCAAGAACAGCTGTCCCTATTCACAAAGCAGTTCAAAAAAAAGGTGGATTCAAAAGAAGGGAAAGAACCCAATTCAAGAAGGACCTTCTAGGACATCCACTTTCAGGGATTCACGTTTCAAAGAAGGAAAGTCCTATGATAACAGCTCGAAGTACAAAGGGCCGATGTGTTTTGAATGTGGTGGACATGGGCATATTCAGACTGAATGTGCAAACAACCTTAAGAAGAAGAGACAAGCTTTTTCAATAACCTGTAGTGATGAGGATACTGACGAAGATCAAGGTTGTGAGGAAAGCAACTGTGCTTTTATCTCACAATCAGATTCAGACAATCTAGTTGAGCAACACATGGATCTTCAAGAAAAGTGGATTGAACTACTTATGGTTAACAGAAGAAATACAGCAGAAAAGAATCAGTTGGCATGTGATCTAAAGATTCTGAAGCAGAATCTAGAGAAAGCAGAAACAGATAATGCAGATCTGAAATTTGAACTACAAAAACTCAAGGACTACATTAAGTGGATGAAAATAGCTGGAGCTGAAGTACTGGATGCACAAGAGATAATGTTCAAAGCACCTGGAGATAGACAAGGAATTGGATGTGATAGCCACACCAAAACAGATGATCTACTAAAAGAAGACAGTGTGATGATAGCTAAGAACATGAGAAAAAGTTATAACCCAGCTGTAAAACCAATCAAGAGCTACAATATCAAACATCATAGAAGAAACTCATTGACTTATCAAAACGACAGATGTTACTACTGCAGAAGATGGGGGCACATCAAGAGGGCATGCCAGAGGCTCAAAAATAAACGAACAAGAACTCAGAAGTTCAAGCAGATTTGGGTTCCAAAGGAAAGGGTCATGGTAGCAAATTCATGCCTCAGAGTCACTCCTGATCAATGGTTACTAGACAGTGGATGTTCTCATCATATGACTGGTGTCAGACAGAATCTTACAAACATCAACTCAGTTGAGGGGGGAAATGTTAGATTTGGTGGTGGAGCACAAGGCAAAATCGTTGGGTGTGGAATACTTAATGTCTCAGGACTTCCACCGATCAAGAATGTGTGGCTTGTACAAGGACTTCAGGTGAACCTACTCAGCATTAGCCAGATATGTGACCAAGGGCTGGAAGTCACATTTACTCAGCAAAAGTGTCGTGTGAAAGACAAAAACAAACTGTTGGTACTAGAAGGTGACAGAACGACTGACAACTGCTACAAAGTCACTCCTAATGTTCTGTGCTTTCCTGCGAGCCAACAGGATGCAAGGCTATGGCACTACAGACTTGGTCATCTAAATTTCAAAGATCTCACATCCCTCTCAAACTCAGATGCAGTTCGAGGATTGCCCAAGATTAAGAGACTGGAAGGTGAAGTATGTGGTCCATGTCAGAAAGGAAAACAAACACGAGCAAGCCATCCTAAAAAGATATATCAATCTACCACAAGACCATTGGAGTTGATACACATTGATCTCTTTGGACCAATGAAAACTGAAACCATCGGAGCGAAGAGGTTTGTGCTCATAGTGGTGGATGATTACACAAGATATTCCTGGGTAAGCTTCTTAAGACACAAAGATGACGCACTAGAAGCCTTTGTCATATTGTGCAACAAAGTGCAGAATGAGAAACAGCTCAAGATTAAAAAGGTCATTCGTGTTAGGAGTGATCATGGAAGGGAATTTGAAAGTCAACCCTTTAGTGAGTTCTGCAACAAGGAAGGAATTCAGCACGAGTTCTCTGCTCCAAAAACCCCACAACAGAATGGAATTGCAGAGAGAAAGAACAGGCATGTACAAGAGATGGCCCGCACAATGATAAACACTCAAAACTTAGCTCAGAATCTATGGGCAGAAGCAGTACATACAGCATGCTATACAATAAATAGGGTATACATCAGGAGCGGCACAAAGGCTACACCATATGAGTTGTGGAAAGGAAGAACTCCAAATCTTGCACACTTCCACATTTTTCGAGCTAGGTGTTATGTCTTACGAGACAGACAACAGAAAGGAAAGTTCGAAGCCAAAAGTGAAGAAGCAATATTCGTAGGCTACTCACCAAACAGCAAGGCGTACAAAGTATTGCTCAAAAGAACCAGGAATATAACTGAGTCAATAAACGTGGTGGTAGATGATCAAATACCAAGAAGGTGCAGTGATGACTCTGAAATTGCTGAAACACAAACTGAGACTGCTTCAGAACAAGAAGAGACAGAATCTGAAGAACAAACAAACAATGAGGAGAATCAAACTACAGGACCAGAGGAGTCAACAGGAATACCCACACATGTGCACAAAAATCATCCACCAGAAAACATCATAGGGAATCCAAGAGAAGGCATCCAGACTCGAAAAAAGAAGATAGATTTTGTCCAGATGATAAATGCTTTCTATACGTCTTCGGTTGAGCCAAAGAACATCAAAGAAGCTCTTAAAGAAGAACCATGGATAGATGCTATGCAAGAAGAGTTGGGACAGTTCGAACGCAACAATGTATGGGAGCTGGTTCCAAAACCAGAAGGTGTTAATGTCATTGGGACAAAATGGATTTTTCGAAACAAGACAGATGAAGATGGGAAAGTAGTCAGGAATAAAGCAAGGCTGGTAGCTCAGGGCTATACCCAATTTGAGGGAATTGATTTTGAAGAAACATTTGCTCCAGTTGCAAGGCTGGAATCCATTCGCATGTTAATCAGTATGGCATGCATCCTTGACATGAAACTCTATCAGATGGACGTGAAGACTGCATTTCTAAATTGCTATCTTAGAGAAGAAGTGTATGTAGCTCAACCAAAAGGGTTCGAAGATCCAAAACATCCAGATCATGTCTACAGACTGAAGAAAGCTCTTTACGGGTTGAAGCAAGCTCCACGTGCTTGGTATGAGAGGCTAACCACTTATCTCCTCAAGGAAGGATATGAAAGGGGAGGAGCAGATAGCACCATGTTCTACAAGAAGTACAAATCTGACATTCTCATTGCTCAAATATATGTTGATGATATTATATTTGGGTCTACCTCAAAGCAGCATGTCGACAAGTTTGTAAAGATCATGGAAATGGAGTTTGAGATGAGCATGATAGGAGAATTAACGTTCTTCCTGGGATTACAGGTCAAGCAAACTGAAAAGGGCATTTTCATCTCAAAAGCAAAGTACATACAGAACATGCTGAAGACGTTTGACATGAGTGACTGTAAAAGTGCCAGAACACCTTGTCCCACACATGAAAAACTCAGCAGAGATGATTGTGGAAAATTAGTAAACAAGACTCATTATAGAAGCATTATTGGAAGCTTGCTATATCTTACTGCCAGCAGACCAGACATCTGTTATAGTGTGGGAGTTTGTGCCAGATATCAAGCGAACCCAAAGGAGTCACACCTCAAGGCAGTCAAAAGAGTCAGAGACACACAAAACTTGGGGTTATGGTACGGGAAGGGTGGTCCAGCAAAATTAGCAGCATTCAGTGATGCAGACTGGGCAGGAAATATAGACGACCGGAAAAGTACATCTGGGGGCTGTTTCTTTCTAGGAGGAAATTTAGTTGCATGGCTAAGTAAGAAACAAAACTCAGTGTCATTATCTACAGCAGAAGCTGAATATATAGCAGCCGGGAGTTGTTGTGCACAGTTGTTATGGATGAAGTCAGTATTATCAGACTATGGAATACAACAGAAAACAATACCACTATATTGTGACAACACAAGTGCAATCAGTATGTCAAAAAATCCTGTGCTACATTCTCGAACAAAGCACATTGACATTAAGCATCATTTTATACGAGAATTAGTGGAAGAGAAAATTGTTAGTCTGGAGCATGTAGATACAGAAGAGCAACTAGCTGATATCTTCACAAAGGCATTGGATGGAATCAGGTTTGAAACACTCAGATCCAAATTGGGTCTGTGTGCACCTTATTAATGTGTCACAAAAATTACCTTGAACACAAATTGTCAGCTAATGTGCTCAAAGTGTTACTAATCCGCTGAAATAATGACACATGGCAACAATGAGAAAGGAGTATCTGAAAAGAAGCACAAAATAGAGGCATGCATGCGCACAGTGCTCCGTAAGTAATCATAGCCAGACGCAGAAACCGAAGCGTCAAAATATTCAAAAACCAAAGTATAACCCAAGAAGGCATCCGGGTAGAGAAATTTCCAAAAAAAAAAAGCACACCTGAATCCACAGCCAAAACCAACCAAGAAGTCCAAGAAGAAGCAAGAAGATCTCTATTTCAATCATGGTGCGCATCAAGATGGCGCTACCCCAAAGATGGACTAGAAAGGCAAGAGTGCAAAAGAAGAAGTTCCACAAACCCTCCTGGACAAAGCTATTCTCAAGGGGTTAATCGTCATCTACCACTGCGGCAACTGGAAAGTCTTCAGCACACCCACTTCTCTCAGATGATGATGGATTGTATCTTCTAATTTTGCAACCATCTGAAGTGTTGCGATTGGAATACACTCCAATCAATCTAGAAGAATCCACAAAAAACCCTAACACAAAAGGGGGAATCTGTGAAGAGGAAGTTCTGGGAGAGATTCTTGAAGAAGAAGAACCAATTGTTGCATGCTTGGCAGTTCCCTTTCAAGATTCTGCATGCAACACAAAGGGAGGAGACACAAAAAGGAGAAGCGACACTGGACCTACCCGATGGTCTCTGAGACAGACCAGATCTCTTTATCACACAGAAAATTCACAAGAGGAGAAAACGGAAGTCAAAGAGTCAGAGAAAAGGGAGAAGAAGATGAAGCCTCAATCTGAGCCCAAGAAGAGAAAAGAAAGTGAGATTTGTCCTTCGCCAAAACTTCCAGTAAAGAGAAGAAAATCCACACCAGATGCTCCACCTTCATCCAGACGGGAGACCAGAAGTTCAAAGAATTCACCATCAAGCTGCACGCCAGGGAAGCAATCTGTTAAACTCTTTCCCTCTAGTGTTGCAACATCTCTTTTTCTTGATATTGTGAAAAAATCAATTATCCCTCAAAGAAATCTTGATGTGTCTGACTTAAGAAAGAAAACAAACCTCCTGCCCACACTTAGATCAAACAAATTGCTAAAATCTGTCACTCTCCCTGGTTCATATGTGAAGAAAGTCATTCAAGAATTTTACTGCAATTTAACTGAGTCATGTGTTACCGAAGATGATACCTCATACCAGAAAGTCTTTGTTCGTGGAAAGCTCTATGATTTTTCTCCCTCAGTCATAAATTCTTTTCTTGGTACTGACCCAAATCCAGTAATCACTCCAATTGATGAGGAAACTGTGTGGAGGGATCTCACAAATGGACTTAAGGACTACCAACATAGAAAGTCCAAAGTACCTTCTTCAGTGTTGAAAAGTTCTTATGCTCTCCTTCTGAGAATTGCTGCATTTCACTGGATGCCAACTACTCACACCAACAATGTTCCATTGTGCATAGCCACCCTAATCTACAGAATCAAAAACAATGTTCCTTTTGATCTTGGTAGGGTTGTATTTGATCAGGTGATGGCGTTTGCAGCAGAAAAATACAAAAAGAACAAGAATGGTCTTCCATACCCACTGTTGGTCTACAGCATACTGAAGGATCAAGGCTTTGAGAAGACAGAGGATGAAGAAGAAGAGATCATTCCTCCTTTACTGCAAGTGGATGCAAGACATCTTGAAGGAAGTCACTTCAATGACATGGCTGCTGCTGGAACATCCTCAGCAGAAACGCCAAATCTAGCTTCAGTAGATTACCAGCTCAGCTTCCTTGAAAAAGAGATCAAATCCCTTCAAATGGATGCAGATTATCATCATGAAATTGCCAAAAGATCAACTGAAAGGATGAATGTGCTTATCCAGATTGCACATAATCTGAGGCAAACAAAGAGTGCACAGAGTAAGGGGGAGAGACTGGCTAAACAAAAGGCAGTTGCTGGACACTCATGCACAGATGAAGATGTCCAAGAAGACAGTGCAGAAGAGATATCTTCATCAGAATCAGCAGGGGCCACTCAAGAATCATCAGAAGATGCCAGTTCAGAGGAGTAAACATTGTCTTACTGATAAAAATGTTGCTCTAAAACTTTTTTTTGGAAGGGTTGTTCTGCCCTGTTTTTATGATGCTGGAGACATTGCATGGTTTTTTTGTTAAACTTATCTGTGCCACGTGGAGAGACAGTTTTATTCTCCATGTTCTCTATGAAGCTCTGGTTATGACTTATTTTGGTTCTAGTATTATCTGCATGCATTGTGAAGCAAAGACAGCACACGAGCCTACCCTCTCTCCTGGGTGGGTACTTGGCTCTTTCTGGGGTGACTGATGTAGGTACAGCTCTTTAGAGTTATTTTCTCTCCTATACTCTTAATGTACTTATTCTTGACCGTATTGAATATTACTCTTCTCTTTTTGCCCCCACTTTGGTGATTTTCAATAAAATATCTTTGGCATTTTTATGCAAAAAAGGGGGAGAAGAGGTTAAAAACGGCTGAATAGTGGTTTTTGTCAAAAAATTGCCAAAGGGGGAGATTGTTGGCTCCAACTAGTTAACATTGTTATAGTTTATCACTACGTCAAAAACAGATGCTGACAACTGTTTATTTTAGTTGTCTAACTGTGTTGGTTTTAGTAGTCTTCCGAGCAGCTGTCTGATATATCTACAGACTACTGTTTTAAACAATTGTGTAGTGCGGTTGACGACACCTATTTTTTGATCTTTCAGAGTACATGTTTTTGAAGTTGTTCTCGTATGAGTAAGACATCTGTTTTCTAGAGTTAAAGACAATTGTGATTTTTTGTTGTCTATCTATAATATATACTACTGTTGTTTTCGACTTCAGAATTCTATTGTTTGGTGTTGTCTGTCAAAAATATAGATATCTAATTTCTAAAGTAGTTGAAAGATATATCAGACTGCTGCTCGGAAGACTACTAAACAAAAATAATATTAGATTACTGTTATTTAGTGTTATATTTTTATAACATAGACTACTAATTTTGTTGTATGTTAAACAACTGTTTCTTTCAATTGTATAGTGCACAATAACACTACGCTTTTTTGCAGTTGTCCTTAAAATATTCAAACTATATTTTTGAACAGTAGTGTAATTGATTATCAGACAGCTGCTCGAAAGACCACTACAAATATTTTCATCAAACAACTGTTATTTTGTGTTGTATGTACAAATTAAGACTACTACTTTGATCTTATTTTAAACAACTGTTTGTTTTTGTTGTATAACGATTATTAACACTATAATTTTGTTTAAATAATATGCAAACAACTATTATTTTCTATGGTATATGTAGAAAGTATAAGACTATTTTGTTTCATTTCAAACAGTTGTGTGTTCTAGATGTCTAACAATTATTAAGACTACAAGTTTTTGTAGTTGTCCGTATACGATTCAAACTATCAAGTTGAATAGTAGTCTAATTGTTTATCCAACTATGGTTATTTTGTATTGTCTCTCTAAATCAAAGGCACCCATTTTTAATAATTAAAATTTGTTTCAATTATAAAATATTAATACTAAAACAAAAATAAATTCCAAAGATTACAATAAATCGAGTAATGTCTAAAATTGTACATTTAAAATATTAATATCATCAAATAATTAATATTTACATAAATAAAAGGACATCATAATTGCCCATTGAGCCAACTAAATTAGTCATTTGTTCCCATATCATACTTGAATTGTTCAAGTTGCATGGTACTTCATGAAATGCCTTGCAAATTCAATCATTGTAGTAACCGATTCATATCAATAACCTTTATCAACTCCATGAAAGCCTCGCTGTTCTGGATCGACCTAATAATTGGTTGCATTGAACCTAGTATTAAAAAACAATTAAATTGCATGAATGTGATAACTAAACTTAGTTGTACTTCAAACACCTCTTTCACGCAATGCAGCAATCCCACACAACCCATAATAAATAAAATAATAACTAGTAATTGATTAGCATTAATTGCAGTAGTAGTTAACATTTGTTCTTGCCTCAGGCACATCAAATGCAGACATGAGATACTTGATGCAGGCTGGATAAAGGCCAAATGTCCATCGCTCTAAACGTTCTTAAAGACCAGTAGGATCTAGGAAATGCTCGCTCTCGGCTGATCAGTACCATTCATATATGGTATGATAACCTATGCACCAAACAACAGAACATTCCTATGTAAATTAGCCCTATGTTCTTTCTAACTATCAATGAAATATGAAAATAAACAAAAGAATGCAGTCAAAATCTCACTAACCTGATGTGTCGAGTAGATTATGCCTAATACATGTCTCAACACCTAGTTCCAACAAGATTGTGAGGATCAATGCTGCTGCCAAGTGGGCAAACACATGAAGAATCCCGATAATCACTCGCTTTTTACGAGATACCTTTGATGGCACAAAACATACTGTTGCAACTAACAATGACATAGCACCAGAAGATGACACATATGACTGACCAAATAGATACATAAATGAATCTCACACCGTACTAAAGAAGCTTCTCAAGTGACCAAAAAAGGTGTCATCCTCTAACAATCTCGTTCACCACAAGTCTCCATTTATAGACATTCTATGTGTATAGAGGTTGTGATGATATCACGCTACCAAATCTTGAAGCATTTAGAGAACTAAATCTAAATCTTGGGAGGGAAATCACTGTTTTGCAGCCATAGGATACAATTTAAATAATCAATATTAAATGAAGAAGACATACCAATTTCAGCAAAATCCATTCCCAAATCAGAAAAGATAAACTGGCCAGCACTGCAGTTCCTGTAGAGAGAAACTCCCGAACGGAGAGGGTAGACGGCGTCACGCACAGCCCAAGCAAGCCCGTCACTGCCCAAGCCCGCACGGATCTGTCATCGTTGCGGGCTGTTACTCTGCTGGAGCTGCTGGACTTCGCCAGAACAGAGGTCGCTGGACATAGGGTTGTCGGCAGAAATCGTCGCTGGTCCACTGTGGTCGGTCACCGGCGTCGCTGCCGGAACTCTCCGTTGGATAGAGCGCTGTCGCTCGGATTTTGGCCAGACATCGTCGGAGCTCGCTGGTTCGAGTGTCCCAGGTCGCTCCCCGTCGTCGGCTCTGTAGATCGTCGCCGGTCGGACTCTTCCGCCTTGCCGCTGTTACCCATGTCTGCGAATCGAAGAAGGAAGAGGAGGGAGGACGACGGCGATTTGGATCGAATCAGATCCTAATATACTCCGTATATATATCTAGGGTTTTGTATTTATATACTCCCTCCGTCCCACTATATTTGTCCACTTTCATTTTTGCACACCATCCAATACACTTCTTTAATCCATTTTATCTTGTAATTTGTATATTAAAAAATTATAGAAATTATATATTAATAATCTATATGTTATGACAAATCAAATAAGATCACACATGACTATATTTAGGCTTACACATTGAGAGAATTTGATGAGTCAAAGTGCTTAGATGAACAGTTCCAAAAGTCAAAACTGGACGAATATAGCGGGACGGAGGTAGTAATAATGTGTCTGGATAAAACACATTTTTCGGTTGAACTTGCTCCGAATTGAGATTCGTTTATATCATTGGATTTAATTCGTCAATTCTTACCCAACGATATAACTTTCATAATCAATTAATAAACATTTATAAGAGGTCTGAACAGCTAGTATATTTCTTAACTATTCAAAGGTAAATGTCTGATCAATTCAGATAAGAGGTCTTAACCATTCAGACTCTGTATAATACTTAGCCATTCAGAGGCAAATGGCTGAACCATTCAGACACCTGAACTATTAAGAGGCTGAAAGAAACAATCTGAACCATTAAGTGTTGAACCACTCACACATATGAACCATTAAGAGGCTGAAACAAACAGCCCCTTAACATGTTTATAGGTTGCTTAGATGATATCTAATGAAATCAGATCTCATCATATCAAATTAGACTAGATCAAATTAAAAGAGTTTTAAATACAACTAATCGGACTAATTAGATCAAACCGGATAAAAACAGATCTAATCGGAATAAATCAAAGTCAAATCCAATAAGATCAGATCAAATCTTCAAAAATATTGAATCAAATCAAATTTAAATCTAGTAAGATCAGATCAAATATTTAAAAAAAATCATATCGGATCTAATTAGGTTGAATTATACCAAAATAGATCTAATCAGATCAAATCAAATTCAAATCTATTAAGATCAGATCAAATCTTAAAAAACAACTTAATTATATAGGTCGTGTCCTTTTTACCTGATCTAATCTATAAATCAGATCAAATTAGATCGAATTAGACCAAAACAGTTCAATTCAAATTAAATTCAAATCTAGTAAGATTATATCAAATATTAAAAAAACAATTTAATTTTATAAGTCGTGTCATATTTACCCGATCTAATCCTTAAATGCATCATATCGGATCTAACTAAATTGAATCAGACCAAAGTAGATCAGATCAAATCTTTAAAAAGATATATTTTCTTGTGTACGTTGTGTCTTATTTTCCTGATGTAATCTTTAAATGCATCGGATCGGACCTAATTCGATCAAATTAGACCAAAACGGATCTAATCTGATCAAATGAATTTTGAATCTAATAAGATCATGTCAAACTTCCATAGGAAACCTGTTTACTTGTATAGGTTGTGTCCTAATTGCCTGATATAGTCTTTAAATGCATCATATCGGACCTAATATATCAGATCAAATCAGATAAAACAGATCTAATCGTGAAGTTGGAATAGTGTTCTGGGAAGAAAGTTTTATGACGGAGGGAGTATTTACTTGTTTACGTTGTGTCCTATTTACCTAATCTAATCTTTAAATGTATCAGATCGGACCTAATTCGATCAAATTAGACCAAAACAGATCTAATGGGATCAAATGAATTTCGAATCTAATAAGATGGTATCAAACTTTCACAGGAAACCTGTTTACTTGTATAGGTTGTGTCCTAATTGCCTGATATAATCTTTAAATGCATCAGATCAGACCTAATCAGATCAATTCAGACAAAACAGATATAACTGAATCAAATCAAATTCATGTCTAATAAGACCAGATCAAATCTTCAAAAAGATCTATTTACTTCTCTACGTTGTGTCCTATTTGCCAAATCTAATCTTTAAATATGAGTATCTTGTGGAATTGACTCCATGTGAGTAATAAAATCAATAAACAAAAAAATGTACAACTAATTTATTACGGAGTATTTTATTATTATAATGGTAACAGTTAGGTATTTTGACTATTTATTTTTTGGAAACCCATCACGTACTTTCATGAAAGTAGTTCGGTTTGATTCGAGATATAATTTGTTAGAACCATTTGAAAAATCACTTTTTGGTTCAGTACATTATTGTTTCAGTTCGAAATAATATCTAATCGGTATTTTTGCGTACCCCTAATTGAAAGTCTTATATAAGAGTGAGAAAATTTATGGACCAAAAACATTTTTGTTTCAAAAATCAGATTGCTGATTTTAAAAATTTTGAAGCATCTCAAATTCTAGAATCCCTCCAGATTTTTTGATTGCCCGCCTCTAATATGTGCCCTCAATTTCGCACTTAGGTCTATCGCCTAATTTCCGTCATCTTCTTCAAAATCACAACTCTTGTACGGAGTATGATAGAGAACATCTATCACAGGTTTTGGATCGCTGGGCAGTCTCCACAAGTTACTATTCACTGCCGATCTTAAACCCTTGCTTTCACCTTGAATTTGTTGAACTTTTGGACCAATTTTTAGAGCTCTAGAATCGTTTTGGGCATGGCAATCCATTGGGCGCTGGATTGATCAAGAATCGCAGGTCAACCTTCTCGAGTTACTGTTCATCTGCGACTCTTGAAGGTTCAATTCACCTCGGTCCAAGCTCGTTTGAAGGCCAATTTTTGGGGGATTATGGGCGACTTGGGATGCTCTTTCAACACCTGAAATTGGTTTTCCAAACCGGTTGAAGGAAGCTGCGAATTGAGCAAAAATTTTGGACACGGAGTCACTGTTCACAGCGAGTTCTTCAAGTCCAGGTTTACCCATGCTTTTTGCTCGTTTTCCATCCCATTTTCTGGGATTGTGTTCGTGATTCAAGGGCCATTCAACGTCTGGTGTTGGAATCATAATTCAAACAACTTGATTTTGGTCTCTTTGATTTGGTTGCTCGAGTTACTATTCACGTTCTAGTGTACCTGTGCGGTGTGCGGTTTTGCTACTAGTCTAGCCTTTATTGCTTGGGCTGGTGATTTTTTCCAGAAGGCAGTATGAGACTTATATTTGAGTCTTCATATGGCAGTATGAGAGTTAGATTTGAGTTTCTGATTCTAAATATTTAGTTAATTCTTTAAGCTTTATACTTTATTTCAAAAGGATTTCAAAATTGAAAATTGTTTTTGTTCTTAAAAAGTTGTTTCAATGTCTAGCTAGCAAATAAAATTTGGACAATGAATTGGTTCTCTACTTCACAATCTGTAACTTTAGATTGTTACTTTGCATAGTATATTTAAGTTTTTTTCTTCTTTATACTATACGCATTACATTTATTTGTTGATTCAAAAGTAGACAATTCTAACTATATATATTTTTTGTGCTTATTTGTAGCTATTTGAATATGAGAATTTGTATGCAAACCAAAGTGAAAAAAGAACGTGAGCTTCATAAATCAGAATCAAGATTTTGCATATTCTTTTGCAGAGTGTGACGAAGTTTGTCACATATGCTACTGTACTGCCTTTTTTATTGTGTTTGAAAAGTGTTTCATTACTGAATTCAATTTGGGAACTAAAGCTCCAGTGCTCACTTGTAAGTTGTAATTTGCGTGAAGGGACTTTAATTTGGGGTTTTACTTTGGGCCTACGTTGTAGCCTCATGTCTTTTCAATTTATTTTGGTGGTTTCTCTTCTCTTTTTGGGAGAAAGCTTTCGTTTTAGATTTGATGATGATTTGTGGCTAAGAAGCAGTGAGGGGAAGTTTTTTAAATTCTTCTCATTAGAATTAGTCAAATGATACATCTAATGAGTATTTTGTTCAATCCTTCATATATAGGAGGGGGCACACGTTCAATGAAATGGCTCACCTTCCAACAAGGCAACTTTTGCACTACGGTCCAAGGAAGCTTTTGAACCTATATAACTTCTGTGGATGTCCCTCCTGATAATACTAAGGATTGTTTGGTGTCTCCTGAAACCGAGAAGGCTGTTTTGACCACTAGCAAATCTGTGATAACTTTGGATGACGGTGTAACTGAATAGGTTGATGCTGCTTCTTTGTCTCTGATTGGTAATGATGTTCCAGTAAGTATATAATACTACTGACACATGGATATTTTGACTTAAACTCTAATCCCCCGCCCCCATAAATTTATACAAAAAACTAAGTAGGCTTCTTTGATAACTTATGAATCTAGGAGTAAATTTCCTCTCTTTAAAACTTTTTAATGAAGGTTTTTCTATCTTTAACTACAGCTTTTACTCTCATTAAAGGACATATTTCTTGTAGTGTTTGTTCATGAAGCTGTAATGGTATTGTTAAGAGAAATAGGACACAACCAGCTACGTGGAATGGTTTTCTGTGGCATCACTGGGTTTGGCTAGACTACTTCGTTGGAGAGCCACCCAAAGCTGTTGTTGGCAAATCATGATCTCCAGTGCTGCCATTTTCGAATAGCATACTCCATTATGCTGTTTGTTTACCGAACTCAGTCTTCTTGAGGGATGGGATGGCACACATGTGTTGCTGGCAGACCAACTTATCCCTTGCACTGGGTGACTCCTTCTGTTTGCTGTGGTTTTTGGTCTACCACTACTCGTTCCTTTCATACCTTGGTCCCTGATTTTGGTGTTCCAACTTAAAGGAGATGGTGGTCTCTTTCTGCTTCGGGTTTGTTTTGCTGCTTTGGAATTGCTTTAAAGTTGCTGCTGTGCGGAACTTGGAGTTGCTGTGCAATAACTAGAGGACCTGTTGCATGATGGCGCTGCTGTGCTCCTGCTGCTACCACTGAGCTACTGCCTCGAGGACCTGCTGATGCTCACAATTGGCGTACAGGTGCTGCGTACAGGTTGAAATTGCACCTACTACTGGATTTTGCTACTGGATTTTGTTACTGCTTGGGATCTACTGGTGCTGACCATGGAACCTTCTACCTGGGCTGATTTATTGGATACCAAGGGCTGTGGATTAGCCTTTGGATGATGGAATTCTTGGATGTCATGATATGTTTATGTTATCTCACAAATGTATATATGTCATGTGCTTAACTATGAGGATGGTTTATGTGCCTACCTAGACTACTATTGCTTGGGCTTGGTCTTAGTCATGGATTTCTTTGAGTTGGTCTTTTGAATTTCTTGGGAAATACACTGGAATGGGGTGATGATGTTGTTCCCTCTTCCACAAGCTAAATGGTCAAGCTTAAGTCATTGGGGAGGGTAAAACCATGGCTAAAAACCAATCTTTGTGTAATTGGCACTTCTACCTTGAAGATTTGGTCTTTACTCTTTAATTTGAGTAATTTGAGAATATGGATTTTCATTCTTTGTGTTTTTTTGTTTTGTACTTTGGATTGAAGCAAGCAAATGTACTCTAAATTTTGTTTTTAATAAATTTTGTGTACTCTTATGTGCATCTCGCCATCTTCTTATTATTTTTTGGTTTTATGATGTGAGATTGATTTTTTGTATAAGTTCTCGATTCCCTTTGTGTGTAGCGGGACAGTATCCAGCCTTTCCACGTACTTTTTCTTTTGTTTCAATGGAAGTGTTTATTTTTTCATGTCCATATAATTGTTTGAAACAATGTTTATTTGATTGTTGTACATATATTGTCCGAAAGTAAGAAAGTAAAGTTAGAGAGCGCATCCATTTTCATTGTAAAAAAGATTAGCGTTATTCTGAATCTTTAAAATAGTTCTAGGCTTAAGAACTAGACAACTCTTTAAAACGAATATTCTTAACTTTTAAAATAGTTCTAGGCTTAATACGTACAATTCTCTTAAAAACAATTTTCTTTACTTATTTTAGATAACCGTGAAAAAAAACAGTGTGACACACACTACTAGTAATACATTACAGTTTCTCAAAACTTTGAAAATAGTTCTGATATTAATAGTCTAACTACTATTTAAAAAAGGTATTCTTGATTTATTATTAACAACTTGTGATAGATTACGGTTTCTATGAATTTTAAAAATAGTTCTACGCTATATAAATATATTACTGTTACAAGGAAGTTATCTATTCTTGTAATAAACAACTATGCAAAACAAAACCATATGAAAAATACAACTAACAATAAAATACTATTTATTATAAGTTTAAAAACAGTTGTAAACTAAAAAACTAGACTACTGCTTAGAAATAGTAGTCTTAACTAATTATTAACACCCGTGGCAACAAAAACTGTATTTTTAGGTGAAACAGACTACTAATAAAAGATTATTGTTTCTCACAACTATAAAAACTGTTCTACCCTTAATTCATATACTACTGTTACAAAGGAGTCTTCTATTACCATTAGAAACAACAGTGGCAAAAAAATCATATGAAACAGACAACTAGCAATAGATAACTGTTTCTAATAAGTTTAAAAACAGTTCTAGACTAAAACACCATACTACTGTTTAAATAGAGTATTCTTAACTTGTTATTGGCAACTGTTGTAACAAAAACTGTATTTTGAACTGACACAGACAACTAGTGATAGATTACCGGTTCTCAAAACTTTAAAAATAGTTTTAAAGCATAGTAGATAGACTACTGTTCTGTAGCCAAGAAAAAATCGCAGTAGTCTGTATTTTTTTAACTACTGTGTTTCCATAAACAGTAGTTAATCAACAGTCATCTGATACTGTTTTTGGCATAGTGTATGTTGGCATTATTTTTTGACAAAACCCTTCTATAGAACTGGTAGTATATCTGTGCTAGGATAAGAGTTGTAGCATCCTGTCAGTCATGTTATAGAGTTTCTATACGAGATGGACTCTGAGTATATCGAGTTGTATGTGTCAAGAAGGGTTCGTAAAGTGTCCAGCATCAAGAGGAACTACTTCAATTTGGCGTCTTCCTGAACACGTGCGAAATAAGCAATGCAAATCTACGGAAGAAGTCATGTGGCGCTAGGAGTGCCTGGTGTTCAAGCTTATCATTTGAAGAGTTCCATACTATCTCCACTAGTGTTATGGACGACCTATAAAGAGAGACAGCCGTAGAGGAAAAACTGACGCAGAAGCATATTCATAATACCAAAAGAGAGAGCGTGAGATCACTACGATTCTGATCGAAACAAAACTGTGAGAGATTTGCATGAGAAGATCAGTCATGGATCTTCTCTAGATATTGTTCAGCTGTTGCAACCTGGTTGGCTGAGCAAGGGTCAGAAACACATCCTTCGTGCAGAGCAAGAAGAAGGTGTAATAGGCCTGGTGAAGACACAAACCGAGTTTGCTGTCAGATCTCGTAAGTAGACAAATCAGATTCATTAGAAGGTTCTATTGAAGTTTGATAGTGTAATTCTTACGTTGATCTAGTGGAAAGGCTATTACACGGATGTGGGCCTCACAGACGTAGGAGATACTGCTCCGAACTGCGTAAACAAATCTCTGTGTCTTGGTGTGTTTAATTTTCTACTTGTGTGTGTGACTGTTGAAAAAGGGGTTGCAGCATCCTGCGTTTCTAGAGCTGCAACACTTCTTTCAAGAGTGTTATATGTTTGCATCTGTTTGGCGTTGTGTTTAGTTTCTTGTGAGTATTGGATTTTCATTTATAGGCAGGTCAAAATTGTTTATAAATACGGAGTAATTTTTAACTTATGAATCGGTCGATGACATGTTTTTGTGTGATTATAATAAGACAGAAATAATAATTAGGCTTTAGCTACTTATTTTTAATCCAATTTTTTCATTTCTCTTTTTTTACCAGATTATTTATAAAACTGTGCTTGCCATTTATGAATATTTCTAAGTGACTTGTCTATCATTTGATTCTTTTACTTCAATGAAAGAATATTTGACTTAAAAGCAATTAAAGTAAGTTATAAATTATTTATCAGCAATAATCCAATAAGCATATTTATTTTTCCCTAAAAAAGAAATAGTGTAACTATGTAAGTTTCACAGTGTTGAAAATGAATATGGTTATATGGGTACGCTGAAAATTATTTATATGAAAGAAAAAATTTATGAGCCACATATTCGTATTTTTTAAAATAAGTAAAGTAAATAAAAAAACTTTACGACTTTCAAAAAAGAGTAAAAATGTCTTTTCGTGATGGGAGTTTAAGCATATATTAGAATAAAATTTTACTTAAATAGTACTAAAACATAATAACTTTTTCTAAATAGCATCACATATGCTTTTTTTCTCCAATGTAATACTTTTAGTCATTATCCATTAGTCATTATTCAAGTAAATATTTGTCATCACTGGATTAAATGTTATTTAGGGAATAAAACAATTTAAGTGTTATTTAGGAAAATGATTTAAGTTTTAGTGCTATTTACTGTAAATATTTCTATATATTAATGATCAAATTTCTACAATGAAAAAGAATTTAAATGGGAACCTTACATCGGGGAGGAGGGAGTGTTTTTGTTAGGATTTTGAAATTATTTTTTTTTATTTTTTGAAAAAATAAAAAAATTACTGATAAAGAAATTCAAATAAATAATAAAAAAAGCACTCTAAAATTAAAATTCAAAATATATCCTGCTATCACATGTAATTGGTCATGGGATTGTTTTCCGAAGAATATTCATTAACAGTTGAGTGTATTTTGAAAGTAAAATTTGTTCCATTTAGGAACTAACATACGAGTATGTATTTTCCCTACATATGACTTGCATCTTTTTTTCCTTTCTTTAGGAGTTAATTTGAAATGCCCACCCTAAAATGCCCCTCAACCCACGCCACCCTATTTTTTATTATTAAAACATTCCTTTTTTATTTAAGATTCTATCTTCTTCTTTAAATGATAAAGATTAAGAATTAACTCCCCATCATTTTAGTTATTAGAAATCATCCTAAATAGTAAATAGAACTAAAACATAGAGAAAAGTACCAAAATAGGACTTTCATGTTTTTTTCCCGGAATAGGACTTTGCATTGTGGTAATGTGACTTTGCATTGTGGTAATGTGGCAGTGTACATGTGCAAATTAATATACTTTCTTGGTAATGTATATGACCATGTTTGGTAATGTAAGTCCTATTTCGGGAATAAAAACATTAAAGTCTTATTTTGATATATTTTCAATGTTTTAGTCCTACTTTGAGCTTTCTCCCCCATTCATTCGTTACCCTATTTTTTCGCACCCACTTAAATCTCATGGCTACATTTCTTCTCTCGTTTCAACCATTCCCTCGGCCGCCTCTCGTCTCTTCCAGCCGTCACTTCCCTTCTCCCCTCACACGATATTTTCTTCATTACTGGGTTATGTATCAAAGTTTGCAGCGGTTTCATCCACACCTCCAAACATCCACCTTCTCTAGCAATTTGATGGCAAATGGGACGGTAATGATGCGCTAGAGAGTATTTTCAAAACATTAACGCTAACTTCTAGTGTTATTGATAAATATTGAGTGAATTGATCTGAAACTAATCAAATTAACTCTCAAACCAATAATATGTATTGTAATTAGATTAAATTAGAATAAAATCTAGTTTTTCAATACAATCCATCCTATATCCCTTCCGTCTAAAAAAAATTATGACACTTCAATATTTAAAAGTTACAGAAATTTTATTTATTTGTGTATTTTCATTAATTATTTGATAAAATGAACTATTATTCTTGTAATATCTTATTTTGTAAAACTTTTGACGTATTTTTAAATATGTAAATTTTTTATTTCTATTCCAATCTTTAAATATAAAAAAACTAAAAAACATAAATTTTTGCTTTGTTTTGCGTTATGTAGCATTCTTTCCGAGATGGAGGAAGTATTTTTTTAAAATAAGATTCTTAATGAGTTTTTGTAATTTAAATTAAAATTAGTACTGTATTTTTACCATAATATCTTATCAAATATTTAATTTTACATGTCTAACCTTCCTCCCTAAAGTTCAAAGTTCCCCACATTCGTTTTCACTTTTCCTCCTTAATCTTATCAATTTTCTAACGCCACCATGAAATGAAAATGAACAAATTCATTTGACACAGGGAGATATATTTTTTGATTTTGGTGGAGCTTGTACAAAACAATAGATGTATGTAATTTCGTAGTAGCCCTCTTTCCTACAAAACTAGAGACATAATAATTAATTAATCGAGTAAAGCTTACGGAGTATTATTCTAGTTATATACTACATTTCAAACTTCATTTAAGTTTTTAAAAATAGACGTATGTGGAATGTTAAGCTTTTTCAAATTATTTTATTTAAATATTGATATAGAAATAAAAAGTAAAATTTATATATTTTAAAACTACATGAAAATTTTTTCAAAATAAGAAGTGTTAAGAATATTTTATTTAATCAAATAATCAATGAAAATGTACATATAAAAGAAATTCTCGTGATTGATATATAAAAACAAATGTTGCCAACATTTTTTAACTAAGGGAGTATATATATATATATATATATACACACACATATATATATACATACATATATATATATATATATATATATATATACATATATATATATATATATATAAGTTCTGGTGAGAATGCAATCTTAGGAGAGAAATGAAAATGAATCTGGTGCTTTAGATTGTGTGATCTATGGGTCAGGATTGCATCAAAATTAAGTGCAACAAAATGGTTTAAAAATACATCACGTTGAAATGAATCATAATCCTTTGAAAATGCACTATCTCAAAAATAAATCTCAGATAATTCAATTCGGATAATCGATCCCGATTCTGTTTTGCCAGATCTAAATTTACCCATGTCCTTTTTAATTTTTATGAAATGAAAATGAACAAATTCATTTGACACAAAGGGAGATTTATTTTTGACTTTTGGTCGAGCTTGTACTAAACTATAGACGTATGTGATTACGCAGAAGCCCTCTTTGACATAATCAATTCATCCGGAGTAAAGCTTACCGAGTACGTAGTACCGACTACTCCCTCCGTCCTAAAATTAACTTCTCATTTGACTTTTCACGGTAACCAATGCGACACTTTGACCATCAATAATCCAATTTTTATATAAATAAATTGTATAAAAATTATATATTTCAAAACTATGTTTCAAAATGAATCTATTGTTAGTAAATTTATATGAAAATTCAATATATTTTTTCCGTAATATACGGTCGATGTTTAGAAAGTTTGACTACAAAAGTCAAACTACGAAGTTAATTTTAGGACGGAGGGAGTATTATTCTAGTTATATACCACGTACATTATATATACACTCCTTCCGCCATGGTAGTGAGGCACAAACAAACATGTATGTAGAGGAATAGAGGGATCTTATATTACTGAATAATTTAGTTTTATAAAATGACAAGAGCTAAAAATGTTGTCAACCAAATTATTATAATTGCTTATTGTTATTGCTGCTTATTACTATTATTATTACCTAGTGAGGCGGCGACCAGTAATGACTTCCACACCCTTCAACTCAACTCTCTCCGCCTGAATCATCCTTCCACAGCTCATTGCAATGGTCCAGATTTGCCGCCATCGTCGTTAAAGGTTCATCACATGAACCATCCCTGTGCGGGAAGTCATGGCCAGACGGCGCTTGAGATTCTGACCCGCGACAAGTTGCGAGTCAGCTCAATCCATGCCCGAGTCAACAAGGTCCCCAGCGAGGCCGGCACCGATCTTCCGGCCCAATCCGGCTCCCACATTGGCTCCGGCAATTACATCGTCTCCGTCGGAATCGGCAACCCTGCCACGACCCTCTCCCTCGCATTCGCCACCGGATCCGACCTCACCTGGACTCAGTGCCTCCCCTGCGTCGGGAAATGCTACCCGCAGAATAACTCGATTTTCGACCCGAGTAAATCCACTACCTATTCCCCCATACCCTGCTCCTCTGACGTGTGCTCATACCTGCTGTCCTACACCAGTTACTCTAAACAGAATTGTACTTTGTCGCCGTCGTGCGAGTATTATATACGGTACGGGGACTCCTCCTCCGTTGGCAACCTCGCCACTGAGCGGTTGAGTTTGACGCCGTCCGACACCGTCCAAAACTTCACGTTCGGATGCGGGCACTACCAGGGGGGCCTTTTCCGTGGGGCTTCTGGGTTTCTGGGCCTCGGCCCCGGCCCCTTTTCGATCGTCTCCCAGACGGCCCAAAAGCACGGAAGAAAGTTCTCCTACTGCCTCCCCACGGTAAACGGAACCCGCGGTTATCTGAAGTTCGGGGGAGGTGCCGCCGCTCCGCCCGAGAAAAACATCCGTTTCACGCCGTTGTCGACGGGAACGGCCAACAATTCCTACCAAATTCAAATGCTATCAATCAGCGTGGGCGGGAAAAACCTCCAGATCAAACCGGAGGTTTTCGAGAAAGCGGGAATGATCATCGACTCCGGCACCGTCATAACCCGTCTCCCGCCGGAAGCTTACGTGGCGCTCAGATCCGCCTTCGTGGAGGAGATGAAATATTACCGAAATGCCCCAGGCGATTCCTTACTGGACACCTGCTTCGACTTCAGCAACACAACCGAGGATAAGATTAAGCTCCCGAGGATAGGCTTTGGGTTCAGCGGGAACGTGAGTGTGGATGTACCGCCCAGCGGGATCTTGTATGTGATCGAAAGAAACTTGTCAAAGGTGTGCCTGGCCTTCGCCGGCAGCGAGGACCCCGCTGGAATGGGCATTTATGGAAACACGCAGCAGCAGACTCTTGATGTGGTGTACGACGTCGCAGGCGGGAGGCTGGGCTTTAGTCCTGGTGGCTGTTCTTGATCGAAACAAGAGGAAGTTGTTGCATGTTTTTTTGTTGTTCTCTTTTATTTTGGTGTGCTGTCCTATTAAAATAAAACATGTTTTATGCTGTTGTTTTTGTTATTGTGATGTGATTTGTAAACATATCTACAAATTTAATGTCAATTAATTTCAAAGTCTTTTATTCCCTCCGTCTAAAAAAGATTTACACCTTTCCAAAAAATTGTGTCCCACAATCTTCTACCCGTTTCTATTAAAAAATCACTTTTACCCCCTATTTTTTCAAACCCTACCTATTACATCATACCTTTTTTCTAATAATCTACACATCACATCCTACTTTTACCTATCACATCAAGGGTATTTTTGGAATTTGGAAAGTCAACACAAAATTATCCCTCCCTTAATTTCTACTTTAGTCAAAATGGGTAACAGTTTATGGGACGGAGGGAGTATTAATTTTGGAATAAATTCTATAATTGGTCCTTTATAACAGAGGGGTTTCCCTATTTAGTCCTCTATTATCAAATATTACCTCAATGGTCCTTCTTTTATGGCCGGTACTTTTCCACAAATTGTCCTTTTTTGATCTTTTATCATGTTGATGTTAATTTAAGGGCTAAAAGTGTAATTTTACAATGATAATATATCTTTTTTGTCATACACAATTTCATAGGCTATTCCATTTGCGTCGTTTATGAATTACAGTCGCTTTTTACGACAACTATAGTCTACAAATGTGATCTTTCGTCAGAATCCTAGCGCACAATCATAGTCATTATTTTTGTGTGATCCGCTTAACCAATATCAGAACACGTCACTAGACATAATGTTGATGTCAAATTATACTTTTAGCCCTTAAATTAACACCAATACGGCAGAAGATAAACAAGGACCATTTGTGGAAAGGTAACCTTAAAACAAGGACTACGGGGTAATATTTGATAATAGAGGACTAAAAATGGAAACCCCCTATTATAAAGGACCAATTATGGAATTTACTCTTAATTTTGTGATTGTTCCTTTGTGTTTTTTTATAGGCAAGTCAAAATTGTTTATAAGTATGGAGTAATTTTTAACTTATGAATCGGCCGATGACATGTTTCTGTGTGTTTATAAGACAGAAATAATAAGTAGGTCTTAGTTAACCCAGTTTTTTCGTTTCTCTGTTTTGACTAGATTATTTATAAAAATGTGCTCACCATTTATGAATATTTCTAAGTGACTTATCTATCATTTGATTCATTTTATTTCCATGAAAGAATATTTGACTTATAAGCAATTAAAGTGTAAGTTAAAAATTATTTATCAGCAATAACTCATTAAGCACCTTTATTTCTCCCCAAAAAAGAAATAGTGTAACTGTGTAAGTTTCATAGTGTTGAAAATGAATATGGGTACGCTGAAAATAATTTATATGAAAGAAAAAAATTTATGAGCCACATATTCATATATTTTTTTTGAAACAACATATTCATATTATTTAAAATAAGTAAAGTAAATAAAAAAAACTTTACGACTTTCAAAAGAAGAGTAAAAAAGTCTTTCCAGGATGGGAGTTTAAGCATATTTCTAAATATTAATGATCAATTTTCTACCATGAAAAAGAATTTAAATGGGAAGTTGGGAACCTTACATCGGGAAGGAGGGAGTGTTTTTGTTAAGATTTTAAAATTATTTTTTTTTTTGAAAAAATAAAAAAATTATTGATAAAGAAATTCAAATAAATAATAAAAAAGCACTTAAAAATTAAAATTCAAAATATATCCTGCTATCACATGTAATTGGTCATGGGATTGTTTTCAGAAGAATATTCATTAATTGTTGAGTTTATTTTGAAAGTAAAATTTGTTCCATTTAGGAACTAAACATATGTATTTTCTCTATATATGACTTGCATCTTTTTTCCTTTCTTTAGGAGTTAATTTGAAATGCCCACCCTAAAATGCCCCTCAACCCACGCCACCCTATTTTTTTTAAAACATTCCTTTTTTATTTAGGATTCCATTCTTATATTTTTCATAGCTTTTTTAGAGTCATTCTTGTGAAGTTTTTGTTGTGTTCTTGAGCGTTATTAGTTTACTCAACATCCACTCTAAAAGAAAGTATTGTTCTTGAGTGCGTTTGTGTTTAAACACTTATTAAGAGAAGGTGATTCTCTTGTTGGTTCGAAGAAAGATTTGTTTCCTTCGAAGGTTCGTTGAGGTTCGCGTGACTCGAACTCTCAAGTTGTACGGGTTTGTTAAGCATCGTTAAGCTTAACGTTGATAGTGTAACTCGAGAAAATCTCTTGGGAGGCTGAACGCAGCCACACGTTGTTGTGAACCAGGGTAAAATCGGTGTATCTTCTCCTTACCCTTTACTTTCGCTCTTAAATTTTTTTATTCTTGCGATTTTTCTTTTCAAGCGCTATTCATCCCACTCTAGCATTGAGACTATTATCTAACATTACACTACCAATCGAATCATCTTGTTCTTTTATGCTATCCCACACAATAAGGTTGATAATATGAGCAATACATCTTACATGCAAGTACTCTCCACCACTAAAACAACCAGTTTGTTGAACCATTTTCATAAGGTGCGTACAAGCAACATCATTGGAACTAACATTATCAACTGTAACTGTAAAAGGTTTGTCCTCCATACCCCAAGCCTCTAAACATGCCTCAACAGCTTTACCAATATCATCACCTTTATGACTAGAAATAAGACAAAAAATTTATGATTTTTTGTGCATTTTCTAATCATTGTCAATGAAGTGAGCATTGAGACACATGTAATTAATTCTTTGGATTCAAGTCCATCTATCAGTTGTCACACTAATTCTTTGACAAGAATTTCTAAACATATCTTTCAGGTTCAAATTCTCATTCAAATAAATATCTTAGCAATCACGAGCAATGGTACGTAGTACGAGAAGGAATGTGAAATCTAGGGCAAGCAATAGACATAAAATACTTAAAACTAGGTTTCTCAACATGCCTAAAAGAGAGCTCATCAATAATTGTCATCCTAGCCAAAGTCTCCCTCACGTATTTTAAATTCATAGTTCCATATTATTTCAATTTACCCTCTCCATCACCACCATCATTATCCCCATGAGTTAAAAACAACTCAGATCGTTTTCCTTTCCCTCTATCTTTATTGCCAGGATTACCTACACATATTTCTGGATAATTCTTGACATTTTTTGAGCCATTTAGATTACTCTCAGCGGCAAATGTTTTATCACAAAACTAACATTAAGCTCTTAGGAAATCACCTTCCAAATACTCAGGGTAATTTTGCTAATACTCTGCTCTTCTCTTGGTCTTTCTCACTAAATATCTTTGACCATTTACAAGAATTTTATTTGGGGGTAATTCTTCTTCAAATCATCAAGATTGGTTTTGCTTGCTGCATCAGAGAGTGTTGATACAGTTTCTTCAGAGGAATATATTGGCCGCTTCACTAAAATGAACAAATACAATAAGTACTTAGGTTAAATTTAGAGGTAGAATCTAAGAGATGATCTTTACACACTCAGACAATAGCACATCGTTGTTGTTAAAACCATGATTTTTTCCTTTCTCATAGGCCAACCAGTGGATAGCTCCATTAACAAAACACAGAGACCAGTAGTAATAAACACACAACAATGCACATAATCAGTAGAAATGGACTTCCAGGCCCTTAGGTGGCGTTACATTAGAAAATGGCTTCACACTCACAATTTTTGCCAACATACCTCGGCCTTTAAAGGTCCACATACATAGACACCACATGCATGCATATTAAACCACTGACAATAACACAACACTCACATTTTGTTAAATTTTTTTAGTTCTAAAAAACTAAGTGTTGGGTTAAGGAACCCAGGGGCCTAGGAGACTAGGCGGAAGAGTATCGAACTGAATCGAGAGTGCACAAGTATGGATTCGAGTAAGTATTAAGTATTATTGTGCCACTTAGAACGTCTGGTGTGTGTGGTGAATGAGCTCCCTCCTCCCCTCCCTCTTCCAAGAAGAGGGGTATATATAATGGGAGAGTTAGGGCTAGGGTTTGCATACAAAGACCAATGGGCCGGCCCAACAGGCTGGGCCGCCCTAAACAAGTAATTAATAAACGACTAACGGGCTGATCCAACAAACTAAACCGCCCTGACTAATATTATACAAAGACCGGATACCCCCTTTCCAGGGTATCCATCATGAGTCCCCCACTTCCCGAGCTGAGAGGAACTCGAGGTGAAGTGGGAGTAGAACAATAATCCACCACGGAAGGACACCGTCTTCCTTGTTGTCTAGAGTGTACAATCACCATAAGAGTGGATGAATCAATCATCACCTACAATCCGTTTGTCGTCTTCAAACATCCTCGCACAATCCCGTCAATGTGTGACCCACTCCACAAGTGATTCCTCATTAAAAACTTGCTGAGAAAAAAACCCATGAGGATGGGAAAAAATCCTTTGTCAAGATGTAACGCCCCAAAACATGGTCTAAAAGTTATTCTATAATAAAAGTAGTTTAGAAATAATATTTTGACCCAACAAAACATTATTTCTATGTTTGACCAAAAATAAAGGAATTTTTGGAGTCAATGATTTTTTGTTAAGATTGACTTTTATGAATAGGTCTCGAAGAAACGAAACCAACGATATATTTTATGAACAAATCTAATTTACGGATTTTGAGTTGTGACATTTTAAATATGTAATTTGCATAAAAAAATGAGTAGTTGTCAAAGATGTGAACTTTTGTAAAATGATATATTGAAATAAATTATTTAAATTGAACAATATTGATTGAATATGAGAGCACTTTTAATTGTATGTCAATTAATTCACTTTTGACTTTGTCAAAGTCAACAGCCAAAAATATAGTGTCATAAAAAGTATTCCAAAAAAATGTGAAAATTATATTGTTGCGTAGAGCTTGACTGTGTGAACGTAACGGTACAATCAAATTTCAATTCGGATAAAGTTGGACAAAAAAATGTACCCTGATTGGGAACATTTTAGTCCCAATCAGGGACAGACTTGTGAAATCTCCAAATATCAGCCGCCTAGTCCACTACGAAGCATGGATTGGATAATTAGGCACCAAAACCATACAACTCTTTCTTCATTCTTGGCCTATTTATTTAAGGAGGTTGCATCTTCTTCAAATCTCCATCATTCTCTCCCATTCTTTTTCTATTCTACTCCTTGTTGTATGGAGAACAATCCGCAAGTGATCGCCGCTGTAAAGTCACCGGAGGTAGCCACGGTTCTTGCCGGAAGTTGCACCGGGAAGTTGAATGAAGAAAACATTTCCTGTGCAAATCAGCCCGCTTGTGAGCACTTTTACACCCTCTAAACGTCATTATTTTAATCTGGTTTCTAAACGAAAGTTGTAGCCTTATGTCTTACGAAACCATAGCTTCAAACGGTTTGCGATTTCGTTGAGTAACGAAAGAGATATCGCCCGAAACCGGGACTGGTACAGTGGTGGCGGGAAGCAGCGAGTTTTATGATTTCCAACGTTGTTTTCGCTCGCGTTCGTTCATTGAGCTTCATATCGTCGATTTCCAGGTCTGTACCATGATTTTAAACAACTTTAGAAGGCATTGGAATGATCCTTGAACTTATTGATTCATATATATATATATATATATATATTTGAAAATATAAATATTTTGACATTCATAATGACCAAAGTTGTTTTGTTTTGTTTTTAAAGCTTCAAATAAATTGTTTCTGAGTGATCTATGGATGTTGGAAAACATTTTTATGAAGTTAGTTTAAAGCTTAGAAGCTTTTATGGTGTTTTGAGAAATTGGAGCAAAGGTTGAAGATGATGAATAGTAACTCCGTATTTCCTGCAAATGATCGTTGTGAACATTTTTAAGTCCGAAAATGCTATTTTTGAATATATAAAGTCCTATCTTTTGATACATCAATGAAAAGACAATTTCTTTAAAAAAATGATGTTTGGACAACTAAAGAACCTTATATCATGTATGGCGATAAGCTATGTGTTAACACTCGATGTTAGGCCGCTATTTGTTATTGGATATTGTGATGATTATTATTGATGTTGTTTATTATCAGACTTTGATGAATATTCTTATTAAAATAATAATTATGAATGATTAAAAAATGAACATATTGATGATTATGAAAATGATGTGTATAGTTAAGGATATCTAGAAGAACTCTAAGATATACCCACTTGGAAATTGATGATGATTATTAAGGATATCTAGAAGAACTCTAAGATATACCTCCTTGACCAATTCATGATTCGGGGTTAAAACGTACGTACAGGATCCAAACCGGATATCACCCACCCGACAGATTACTGTTCGGTTGGTACGTAATCCACGTGACTCATAGGGTGGATTATCGATTCTTGTGTTCTGCATTAAACTATTTATAGTTTAAGGGCCTGATTAGAAATATTGCCTTAGACTAGTCATAGTTTAAGAGCTATGTTATCAATATTAATTTGACTTAGACTTAAAATAGTTTAAGAGCATTGATATAATTTAGCCTTAACTTAGAATAAGTTAGGAGCAAATTGTGATAAAATTTGATATGAAAATTATGTGTAATAAATGATGAATATTGTGATAAAAAAAAGTGACATGTGATTATTGTGAATTATGGACTGATTAAGTGATGATAGTTAAGATTGACTATATTCATTATCACTGTTAAAATAAAAAATATGGATTTAAATATGAAAAAGCGAATATTTGAACATATATATGTGATGAGTATTGTTTAAGAAATTATTCTGTGAATTCTTTTGTTGTGCCATGGTACCACTCAGCTTCATTGCTGAGCGTGTAGACTTTTTCATCTTTCTACACGTAGGTATGAGAGAGAATAAATATGAAGCCTATTTTGGAGATTACTGAGATGGAGGTGATGCGTGGACGTGCACAAATTTACTATTTAACTAAATGATTTTATCACATGGTGACCACACTGTTGTAATTTGCAAATCGCTTCCGTATTATTTTGAGTAATTTTACTCTGATGTATTATGAAATATTTAGTACAATATTTGAAATAAAGTTTTTAAGTGTTTGAAATTTTTACGTTGCCAAGTTAATATTTTAGTCCAAAAGGGGCTGCAGACCTGAACGGATTAGGGTGTTACACAAGAAAAGAGTACATCTCGTCCCATAGAGTGGATCAATAAAACATTACTAGGGTGTGAGTTCTTCTGTGTGAATCCCAGAAGAGGTGATCTTTAAGTCCCCCAGACTCGTTGTCCGGACTCGAGGGCTATTCGACATAATGTATTGCTAACGAGTGCAGGTGAACACTTACTGTTGCAATTCGATCACGAAGCTCTCCTGTAATAATTACGAGCCGAGCAGCTGGAGTCCCCCACTCCCTAAGCCGAGGAAGAATTCCGAGGTGAAGTGGAGTAGTTTCCATGCTCGGCGCTGACGGGAGTTTGTGGCTTCCTCACAAGCTTGAGTGCCTAAGGCCGATCTCAAGTGGCTAAGGCCAAGCATGAGCGGCTGAGGCCGAGCTCGAGTGTTTGGGCCGAGCTCGAGTGGCTAAGGCTGAGCTGGAGCGGCTGAGGCCGAGCTTGAGCAGTTGAGGTTGAGCTCGAGTGGCTGGGTTGAGCTCGAGTGGCAGGGCCGGGCTCAAGTGGCTCGCGCAGTGGCTGAGGTCGAGCCTAGCCTTCTTATCCTTCTGACCTGCAAAATAAGTTCAAAAAAGAATACAAGGCGCTCGCGGGCTCAGGCGGACCGATCACCACGCGGCCAAGAAAAGTAAGTCAACATATGAGTTGAGTCCAAAGTTTTAGACAAAAGATAGGGCTTATCAGCGAAGTGTGCTGATCGTGTAGCAGTCTGGTCTAGAACAAACCTTGATGTCATCCTTAGTGAGACCGGGGTCTTCAAATGAGAGCTGCTCGGGTAAGTGAGATAGGCACAAATGATGCACCCCTCGCCTTAGATCCGAGAGCAAAATAGTTCACGTTGTGGAAGACGAATAGGAGTGCATCGAGAAGGACGGCTTACCTCGGCCTCGCGAATAATATCGTCGCAAACGATTTGGAGCGCCTCGCGAGGAGGGCTTACCTCGGCCTCGTAGAAGAGGAAATAAAATCACGTCATGGGAGACGAATGGGAGTGCGTCGCGGCGAACGTCTTACTTCGGCGTCGTGGAAGAGGAAATGAGATCGCGTCATGGAAGACGGATGGGAGTGCGTCGCTGTGGACGGATTACCTCGGCCTCGCGATAATATCTTCGCGGACGATCTTCAACACCTCGTAGAGAGGTTTTACCCGGCCTCGCTAAGGAATGACTAAATGAGTTGGATTTGAGCCATGCGCTTAGACAGGGCTTAAAGTAAATGTTGACTAATTCTCTATTTTGACTAATTCTTTTCTCTAAGGAAGACGGATAGAAGTGCATCCGAGAGTAAATGTTGTGTAATGCAAGGCTTCTGGAGGTTTCTCTTATTTTGACTAATTCTTTTCATTTATATTTAATTGTTTAATTTCACTTAGTCAAAGAAGTAGTTATCCTTTTATTTTTCAAATTGGTGGAGTGAGTGGATCAATTCAAATTGACTCCTACTTTTATGGCCTCACCATACACTTCCTTCACTTCACCACAAATCTCTCAACTTCCTCTAACATCTCTATTTTCTCTTGGTCTATTTATTGGAGTGGTTTGGCAGAGGGGAAATATCAGAAAATATCACTCCGATCCAAACCTTTTGCAAATCCTCTAAAAATTCTCTGCAAATTCTTCTTTCCCTTGTTGAGCAAAATCTGTGCGGTTCCTTCCGGCTTATGTGGGTACGCACAAAAACCGGCTTCTGTGTTATCATTGGGGGACGACGCCTTTGATCAACCGCACCGGTGAAGGCAAAATCGTTTCTAAGGCAGTGGTATTAATCCACGGCACGACGCTTCACTCTTTCTGTTTTAGTTTAAATTTCAGACGGAAGAAGAAATCCTTGGCAGGAGCACAAGAGGAGACCGGCAGTACCGAACCAACAATTTAGAAACGATTTCTTTTGGTGCTGCGAAAATGGCTTTTGCTCTCAACAAACTTCTTCCAGACCTCTCCAAACTCGAGCCGCTCAACGGAATGAACTACGCCGGTGGTCGCAGAAGATGCTAATATTCTTCGAACAACTTGAGGTAGACTACGTCTTGTTCGAAGACGCCCCAACTAATTTTGTTGAAGATGTCAACACCACCGACGACTCCACCGCTGCAACTGCTGATGCCGCCGCTACCAAAGCAGTTGCCGCTCTAGAGAAGTCCAAAAGCACTGCTTCCAAAGACAAGGCTAAGGGAGATGACCAAGCCAAAAGAAAGTACGAGAAGGACAACAAAACAGTTCGTGATCATCTCCTTAGTCACATGACAAATCCATTGTTTGGTTTGTTCATTTCGAACAAGTCCGCAAAGTCAATTTGGGAGACATTGCTGAAGAAGTACAGGGCGGATGATGCTGGAAAGCGCAAGTATGTCACCGGAGAATGGCTGCGTTTTCAAGTGGTGGATGACAAATCAATCATGGACCAAGTCCATGAATACGAGAATCTGGTTTCTGATGTCCTGGCCGAAGGGATGATGATGTGCGAAATTTTGCAAGAAAATGTTCTCATTGAGAAGCTGCCACAATCATGGGCAGAATACTGCAAAAAATTAAGGCATAAGAAACGAGACATGCCACTGGACGAATTAGTCTACCACATCAAAATTGAAGAGGCAAATCGCCTCAAGGATAAGTCACTGTCCTCTTCTGTTTTACCTCCTGTTAAAGCTAACCTCGTTGAATCTTCAAATGGCAATAATCACAGGTATAAAGGGAATTTCTCCGGCTCTTTCAAATCGAATAAGAAGTCCTTCAAGAAACCAGGAAATAAAGACTTCAAGAACCATGGTGGACAGATTCAAAAGAAAAATAATGGTGCTTGTTTCGTGTGTGGTAAAATAGGTCATAAGGCTAATCGCTGCTTTAAGAGATTTGACAATAACAAGGATGGAAATGTTCACCACAATCCTCAAGCTAATGTTGTCGAGCATGATGACATCATTACTGCCGTAGTTTCTGAAGTGAACATGGTTGAGAACCATGTTGAGTGGATAGTGGACACCGCGGCCTCTCGCCATTTCTGTGCTAATAAAGAGCTGTTCGTTGAGTTTGATGAGTCTGCCGAAATCGAGAAGGTGTTCATGGGAAATTCAAATAGCGCAGATGTGCTTGGCAAAGGAAAGGTTCTTCTTAAATTAACTTCTGGAAAATCTTTATCGTTGTCAAATGTTTTTTATGTCCCCTCCCTTCATAGAAACTTGATTTCAGGAGCCTTACTTAATAAGGCTGGTATTAAGTTAGTCTTTGAGGCTGACAAGCTTGTTTTGACCCGTAATGGGGAGTATGTGGGGAAAGGGTATCTCTCTGGTGGATTATTTATTTTGGATGTTTCTGTTAACAACATGAATAAAGCTTCTACTTCTGCTTATATTGCTGAGTCTATTGATCTGTGGCATGGTAGACTGGGACACGTAAATGTTCATTCTCTGAAACGCCTTAAATCTTTAAATTTAATTCCAAACATGATTGAAAGTGGTTTCTCCAAATGTGAAATTTGTGTTGAATCAAAGCATGCTAGAAAGCCCTTTCAATGTGTGAGAGAAAGAAAATCTGAATTGTTAGAATTAATTCATACGGATTTAGCTGATTTCAAAAATACTCAAAGTAGAGGTGGTAAATTTTATTATATTTCATTTGTGGATGATTGTTCTAGATTTACCAAACTTTACCTTCTGAGAACTAAAGATGAAGCTGAGAATATATTTTTAATATATAAAGCAGAAGTTGAAAATCAGCTAGACAGGAAAATTAAGAGACTTAGATCCGATAGAGGTGGAGAATATAGCACAAATTTTTTAAAAGATGTTTGTGAGAAAAATGGCATAATCCATGAATATACTGCTTCTTATACTCCACAACAAAATAGAATAGCAGAAAGGAAAAATAGAACTCTTAAAGAAATGATGAATGCTATGTTTTTGAGTTCTGGTTTACCTGATGAAATATGGGGGGAAGCGGTACTTTTGCAAACCATATTCTTAATCGTGTTCCACATAAAAAGCTAGACAAGACCCCTTATGAAATTTGGAAGGGTTATGCTCCTAATCTCAAATATTTTAAAGTGTGGGGGTGTCTTGCAAAAGTAGGTTTGCCAGCTTTTAAACGTCCTAATATTGGGTCTACGACTTTTGATGCAGTTTTTATTACTTATGCTTATAATAGTGTTGCATACAGATTTATGTGCCTCAATGACCGTTCTATATGTGAGTCTAGAGATGCTGAATTTTTTGAACATATTTTTCCATTGAAAAAAGACACTGGTCGCCCTATTTTATCAGCTCCTGTTTTTGCATCTACTTCTGTGCCATCTAAAAACAATGCGGTAACTGAAATCAGGAAAAGCAAAAGGCGTAGAATTGAAACAAACTTCGGTCCTTATTTTTTAACAACATTTTTGGTTGAGATTGATAATTATGATTATATTGATGAGTCTTTGGTTCAAACCTTTTTGATCGAAGAAGATCCTAAGACTTATGAGGAAGCCATGAGATCGATTGATGCTAACTTTTGGAAAGATGTTATAAATAGTGAGATAGAATCTATTATATTCAATAACACTTGGGAACTTGTGGATTTGCCTAAGGGCTTTGAGCCCATTAAGAGCAAATGGGTTTTTAGAAAGAAAATATGACCCGATGGGTCAATTAAACTGTTTAAGGCATGCCTTGTAGTTAAAGGCTTTACACAAAAGTTTGGGGTTGATTTCTTCTACACTTATTCACCTATGACTAAAATTGCTACTATTCGTGCTTTATTTGCTTTAGCTTCAATGTTTAATTTATTGGTACATCAAATGGATGTTAAAACTGCATTTTTGAATGGTGAACTTGAAGAAGAAATTTATATGGAGCAACCTTTGGGGTTCGTTGTTTCGGGCCAGGAGAACAAGGTATGTAGACTTAAGAAATCCTTGTATGGTTTAAAGCAAGCCTCAAAACAATGGTTTGAAAAATTCAATAACACAATTCTTAGTTTTGGATTTATTTCTAATGGATCAGATACCTGTGTTTATCACAAAATATTTGGCAATGATTGTGTGATTATTTGCTTATATGTTGATGATATGTTAATTCTTGGTTCATGTATGAATGTCATAAATGAAACCAAACAGTTTATATCCTCTCATTTTGAAATGAAAGATTTAAGTGAAGTTGATGTTATCTTGGGCATTAAAGTCAATAAAATTGATAAAGGCTTCACTTTATCTCAATCACATTATATTGAAAAAATTTTGAGGAAATTTAAATGTTTTGATAAAGTCCCGGTAAGAACACCTTATGATGCTAGTATACCTTTGAAGAAACATAAAGGAATTAGTGTTTCTCAAAGTGAGTATGCTAAACTAATTGGTAGTTTAATGTTCTTGATGAATTGTACTCGGCCTGATATTGCATATGCTGTTAGTAGACTAAGTCGCTACACTCATAACCCAAGTAGCGAGCATTGGCATGCTCTTAAAAGGCTTCTTAAATATCTCAAAGGTACTATGAATTTGGGTTTACATTTTGTTGGTTATCTTGCAGTTTTAAAAGGTTATTGTGATGCAAACTGGGTGACTGATAATGATGAAGTGAGCTCTATTAGTGGTTATGTTTTTACTCTAGGTGGCGGTGCAATTTCATAGAAGTCTGCAAAACAGGCTTGCATTGCTCGTTCCACTATGGAGTCAGAATTTATTGCACTTGACTTAGCAGGTCAAAAGGCTGAATGGTTGAGAAACCTATTTGCAGATATTCCTCTTTGGGGAAAGCCTGCACCACCCGTCTCTATGTTATGCGATTCACAAGCAGCTATTAGCGTTGCTAAGAATAAGGTGTATAATGGTAAGAAAAGGCATATACGGGTAAGACATACTACTGTGAGAAAACTAATTGAGAATGGAGTACTCTCTCTGGAGTATGTTAAATCAGAGAGGAATCTCGTTGATCCATTAACTAAAGGACTTAATAGAAAGTTAGTCCTTGAAACATCGAGGGGAATGGGTCTTAAGCCCATAGGTTGAGGAATTCATAGTTGACACCATTAGTATTTTGCTTAGCAAAATTTAATGGTCAAACGAAGCTATGGAAAGACTCATCTATCTTATTTGGTTTTCCATTCCCATAGTGTGTTGTGTTGAGGTTTAATACTCTATGTAATCCATAGCCTCGTTTGGGTGGTCCGTTGGACTTGATGGATATACAAATTGATTTGTGAGGGTGAGTATTTTTATATACTCTTAATGTTTTCATAGCCAGTTTGGTGGTCTACGCTGAGGTAGACTTGATGAAATCACCTACGTAAGTGTGAAGGTGTGGCGACCTTCTATGAAAAACTATGGGCTGTTTTTCTAGAGCACTTATGAGCATCCCGAGGTTTGTTGCCAATCTTGAGTATCGTTTATCGCGGAACTCGTACATGAAGAAAGGTGAGATATGTGTTATCGGGTTATCTCTTGACATCAAGAGAGTTCAAGAATTTTTTTTTCTCTCTCTAGATTATGGAATGACCTCATTTCACTGTGTTGGTTCAAATATAACATATACTAACACTTAAGTATCAAACCTTATTTTGATGAGCATTGAAAGTTTTTTTTTATAAAAACTAAATCCTTTCATCCTTGCATTAGTGGGGGATTGTTGTGTAATGCAAGGCTTCTGGAGGTTTCTCTTATTTTGAGTAATTCTTTTCATTTATATTTAATTGTTTAATTTCACTTAGTCAAAGAAGTAGTTATCCTTCTATTTTTCAAATTGGTGGAGTGAGTGGATCAATTCAAATTGACTCCTACTTTTGTGGTCTCACCGTACACTTCCTTCACTTCACCACAAATCTCTCAACTTCCTCTAACATCTCTATTTTCTCTAGGTCTATTTATTGGAGTGGTCTGGCAGAGGGGAAATATCAGATTATATCACTCCGATCCAAACCTTCTGCAAATCCTCGGAAAATTCTCTGCAAATTCTTCTTTCCCTTGTTAAGCAAAATCTGTGCGGTTCCTTCCTGCTTCTGTGGGTGCGCACAAAGGCCGGCTTCCGTGTTATCCTTGGGGGACGACGGCTTTGATCAACCGCACCGGTGAAGGCGAAATCGTTTCTAAGGCAGTGGTATTAATCGACGACACGGCGCTTCACTCTTTCTGTTTTAGTTTAAATTTCAGGCGGAAGAAGAAATCCTTGGCAGGAGCACAAGAGGAGACCGGCAGTACCGAACCAACAGTAAATGATAGGAATTACCATATTGATAATATGGTAAAAATAATACTCCGTAATAAATATGGAGTAGTTGAAATAATGGTGTAAAATACTTACAGTATCTTTTTTTATTGTTCCTTGGTCCGAATCGTGTAGCCTCAGTATGGAGCAATAATAGAGAAACTGTCGCTTTCCTGGAAAGATGAGTCGGATGACCTAGGGAATCGAGAGAAGGATGGAACGCAGAACAACGCCGAATCTGCTTCGCTGTAAACGTCGAGATCATCCGTCTTCCCATCCAGTTGTTCGCCTTGGTCTAGACGATGGTGAAAGGCCCTGAAACCACGGCGACGACATCAGATCTAGGCTGCGATTGCAACACCGGGTTTCAATAGCGGCGGCATATGCGGCTGCGGCGAAGAAGAATTGAATGCGGCGATCCGGCGAGGATGAGATGTAGTTGAGAGCCTACCCTGTCGAGGTGCGGCGCCTCGCGAAGAGGATCTCCGAACAGAGAAGAGAGAGTTCCTCGGGAGTCACCGGCGCTGAGCATCGGAGTTAGGCTGATGGATGCGTAGATCTGCTGCACAGATCTGCTGCGGGGGTTGCTGGTCGCCGTTTCACCGTCCGAAGCTTGCCGCTGCTGCGCTCGCCGGAGTGAAGGGGTCGTCGGAACTTCAACGACCGTAGCCGCCACTCTCGTTCGTGATTTAGTCCGGCTCGGATAGCAGGTGAAAGGCTGCGGCTAGCACCAGTCGCAGCACCTCTGATAAAATGGAGCTACCGGCGTAGATCCGGGGTCGTCAATTGAGTCCTCAGATGACGAATCTGCGGTAGATCTACGGCGAGGCTCTCCCGTCGTGCTTTGAAGCCGGCGGTGGTCTTCCTTGTGCCAATGGCAGAGCTGGTCGGCGATGGGTGGGGAATCCAAGACCAGTGACCGAATCCCACCACGAAAAATTGGAAGAACCATTTTGTTGTTTGTTTTATTGTTTTTTGTTTTTGGAGCACGCTTGATGTGTTCGACACTCTCAACGAGGAACCTTGGCTCTGATACCACATGTTGGGACTGTGCGTGCCCTCACCCTAACCCCGCATTAGTATGATATTGTCCGCTCTGGGTCAAGCTCTCAAGGATTTGTTTTTGGACATCTCCCAAAAGACTTCATACTAATGGGGTTGGATAACCTATATATTTTAGTCCATTTTTTCTTCTCCCTCCGGTGTGGGACTCGGAGGAATCCCAATAGAGAGTAATATATTAACTCAAATATAAGAAGAATTCATGAATGAATGAAGTAAATGAAGCAATATACATTCATGAATCATGAATCTAAGATACTATGTCAAAAAATGTGAAATCTCCAAATTAAAGTTAAAATTAAAATTTTAAGTATAAAGTCATGCTAGGTATCACCATTTCTAGGAAATAAAAGTAGAAATTGAATTTATACTGTTAGCCTTGGTTTGCTAAGCCTCATGTTTTGATGTTAACAAACAATATAAGAGCGTGACGTTTGTTTAAGTGTTTCAGGTACAACAAGAATCCATTAAGATTCGGTACTCAAGAATGAAGTCGAAACACCAAAACTAGCGTAGAATATAGGTAGAAACCGATGTAAGAATATGACTTTATATACCTATATTCACAAGCTCAAATGCACTCACAAAATATGTTTAAAACCATCCCATAAACATTTTCAAATATCCAAAAGGTTTTAAACTCAAACACGAAGGATTACGGGAATTTTGGAAAAATCAGGACAGTGGCACGGTATCCCCAGACGGTAGGGTATACCGCCACACGGTACCCATATACCGTGAGACGGTACCCAGGTACCGTACGGCAGGCCGGAACGGATGGACACACCCATCCTAACTAGGTGCTGCCAGAACCGGATGAAGTTTTTGTGCTACACGGTACCGAGGTACCGCCCTTCACGGTACCCCCTACTGTACGCACGGTACCATGATACCGTGTGGACGGCACCTGCCTACCAGAGCCGTTGGCAGCACTTGTCCTGATTGCGAAATTTGAATTAAATCAACTCTAATCACCTCCCAACGGCTAATTAACATCTTCTACTATAAATACAAGTCTAATCCTTCATATTTCTTCAAGAAAACAAAGCTCTAAACATCCTCTCTTTATATTCTAAGTGTGTTCATTCTTTTATTAATTATTTTCAATATTTTGGCTATTTTAAGAGCCTTAAATTCCTGATTTTTATGTACACACTTTGAGCTTGTGTTTCTAGTTATATACTCTCATATTCATAAGTTTGAATTGTATTTTGAGAGAGTATACTTGTCTTCTACACCGGCTAAGTTTTGTTCTTCACTTTTTATATTCAAGCCGTTGTGTAGAATCCTCTTTTGTGTTTTTCAAACACACATTCTTACGGTCGAGAATAGCCGTTAAATTCTCACGTTGTAACGATTAAGGATAGCCGTATAAATCCTTGGGTAAAGGTTCAAGGATAGCCTTTGAAATCCTTGGGGGAGCGGTAGAAGATAGCCGTTAAATCTTCATTGTAAACGGTTCAAGATAGCCGTGGTGAAATCTCGGAGTGAATCCTATTGGCAAGGGTTGTTTGCCAAACTAGTGCGGTGCTTTGACGGAGTTCAAGAGACTGAGACTTAGTGGATTCGGAAATCCTTAAGGAGGAGCCTTAAGGTACTGGAGTAAGGAGTTTCCGAACCAGTATAAAATCGGTGTGCATTTACTTTACGCTTTTACTTTTGCGTTTTATATATTGCTTCCGCATTTGCCAACACCGTTTTTATCAAACTCCGAAAAGATTTTCTAACACCTTATTCACCCCCCCCCCCCCCTCTAAGGCGTGGGCACAAAGACAAACCGACTAACAATTGGTATCGGAGTGGTTTCGTAGTTTAAAGTGCTTAATCGCATCTACGACAAAGATCCACTTGTTGTGTCCTTTTTGAATTTGAATTTTAAAAATCTCAAATATTTATTTTCCTTAATTTTTTTTTAAAATTCAAATTTATGGCTCAAATGGATTCTCAAAGCATTCACTGCCCTCCGTTTTTCAATGGTCAAAACTATTCTTATTGGAAAATGCGGATGGAATATTTCATTCAATCAATTGATTTTGATTTATGGTTGAATGTACTTCATGGGCCATTTGTGCCGAGAAATGGTAATTTTGCAGGTTTGTCTTCGGAAGACAAGAGGAAGCTATCAATGAATGCAAAAGCAATAAATATTTTGCATTGCTCTCTTGGTCCCGACGAATTCGCACGTGTTTGCTCTTGCAAAACGGCCAAAGAGGTATGGGATCTACTTCAAGCTACACATGAAGGAGACACCTCAACAAAACAAACCATGCTAGCCCTTGGGAATTCAGAATATGAATCTTTCAAGAAAGGGCCATGTGAGACAATCCAAGATATGAACAAAAGATTCAATGAGATTGTCAACAAATTGAGTAAGTTGGGTAAGACAAATACTACTTCCGAGCTTAATACAAAAATTCTATTTTCTTTAACTAAAGAATGGCATAGTAGTATAGTAGATTTATTACCCAAATGTGATAAGGCCGAAACCGCCCACATTTGGTCTTCCTTATATTCTCACGAGCTTTTGTTGAGAAAGATCAAAGAGGAAGAAATGCGTGAAAATCCCAAGCTTACAAATGCCTTCAAAGCTTCAAAAGATTCATCTAGTGAAGAATCAAGTGAATCAAGTGATGATTCAAGCGACTCAAGCTCTACGGAAGAGTCGGATGATGAAGAAGACGAAGAGAAGGCAATAAGAAAGAAGTATACGGATTTCCTCAAATGGAAGAAGTATGTCAAGAGGAAGGAAGTATATCCAAAGCCGAAGAAAGAGCGGCATAAGCCAAGGTAAGTTCTTCTCACTTATTGGGATAAGATATTTTGTTTGATTATTTTCAAAAATAAAACCTTATCCCATACGTGCTTTCATTTACTTTAGCCTTGGTTTGCATGATTAATTTTTTTTAATATTAAATCATGCATTTTAGAAATTAATCACCAAAAATCCCTGAAAAATAAAGTTTCTTAACTTACATCATTTTAGGGGGAGTTTTCATTTTAGGGGGAGTTTCGTTGTAAATGCACCTTTTGCCCAATGATCTCAAAACTATCATTTTTCCAAAAAAAAATCATTTTGACAGGGAGAGGGTTTCAAGAAGTTATACATGGTTAAAATTTTCAAAATGCCCTTTTTGATTTTGACAAAAGGGGGAGAAGATGTATACTTCAAAGTGGTGCATATGCAACTTGACTTGAGTGCATTCTTGTGTAAACTTTTGCATCAAACTTAAACTCTTAATAAACACAAGAAAAAGTTCAAAGTGAGTGTTTTAAATATGCTTATTCTTAGGGGGAGCTTGCTTGCTTCATTATTTTACTTCCGCCTAACTCACTTTAAAGTATATTGTTTGTAAACATAAAAAAGGGGGAGATTGTTAGCCTTGGTTTGCTAAGCCTCATGTTTTGATGTTAACAAACAATATAAGAGCTTGACGTTTGTTTAAGTGTTTCAGGTACAACAAGAATCCATTAAGATTCGGTACTCAAGAATGAAGTCGAAACACCAAAACTAGCGTAGAATATAGGTAGAAACCGATGTAAGAATATGACTTTATATACCTATATTCACAAGCTCAAATGCACTCACAAAATATGTTTAAAACCATCCCATAAACATTTTCAAATATCCAAAAGGTTTTAAACTCAAACACGAAGGATTACGGGAATTTTGGAAAAATCAGGACAGTGGCACGGTACCCCCAGACGGTAGGGTATACCGCCACACGGTACTCATATACCGTGAGACGGTACCCAGGTACCGTACGGCAGGCCGGAACGGATGGACACACCCATCTTAACTAGGTGCCGCCAGAACCGGATGAAGTTTTTGTGCTACACGCTACCGAGGTACCGCCCTTCACGGTACCCCCTACCGTACGCACGGTACCATGATACCGTGTGGACGGCACCTGCCTACCAGAGCCGTTGGCAGCACTTGTCCTGATTGCAAAATTTGAATTAAATCAACTCTAATCACCTCCCAACGACTAATTAACATCTTCTACTATAAATACAAGCCTAATCCTTCATATTTCTTCAAGAAACAGAGCTCTAAACATCTTCTCTTTATATTCTAAGTGTGTTCATTCTTTTATTAATTATTTTCAATATTTTGGCTATTTTAAGAGCCTTAAATTCCTGATTTTTATGCACACACTTTGAGCTTGTGTTTCTAGTTATATACTCTCATATTCATAAGTTTGAATTGTATTTTGAGAGAGTATACTTGTCTTCTACACCGGCTAAGTTTTGTTCTTCACTTTTTATATTCAAGCCGTTGTGTAGAATCCTCTTTTGTGTTTTTCAAACACACATTCTTACGGTCGAGAATAGCCGTTAAATTCTCACGTTGTAACGATTAAGGATAGCCGTATAAATCCTTGGGTAAAGGTTCAAGGATAGCCTTTGAAATCCTTGGGGGAGCGGTAGAAGATAGCCGTTAAATCTTCATTGTAAACGGTTCGAGATAGCCGTGGTGAAATCTCGGAGTGAATCCTATTGGCAAGGGTTGTTTGCCAAACTAGTGCGTTGCTTTGACGGAGTTCAAGAGACTGAGATTTAGTGGATTCGGAAATCCTTAAGGAGGAGCCTTAAGGTACTGGAGTAGGGAGTTCCCGAACCAGTATAAAATCGGTGTGCATTTACTTTACGCTTTTACTTTTGCGTTTTATATATTGCTTCCGCATTTGCCAACACCGTTTTTATCAAACTCCGAAAATATTTTCTAACGCCTTATTCACCCCCCCCTCTAAGGCGTGGGCACAAAGACAAACCGACTAGCATATACCTCTTCTCCCTGTTTTTCCATTTCCGTCGCCGGTGAGCAGCAACCTTCAGGCCTCAGGGGAGCCGCGACTCAGGAGTCAGGACAGTAGCAACGCGGGAGACCACTAACTCAGGACAGCAGTGGCGCAGGAGAGGAGCGATTCAGGACAGCAGCGACGCAGGAGAGCATCGGTGAGCCGGTGAAGGAGGATCGAATTAACGAAGAAGGCAAGAAGTAAAAATCGATTATACCTCTGTGGCTCTAGCTTCTCTGCGCATCACTACTCGCTGGTTTGCTCACTAGTAGGGGTGTTCATCGGTCCAGGACCGGACCGGACCGAACCAGACCGGACCGAAGACCGAAATTGAAAAAAAATAGGACCGAAGACCGGATCGATTCTCAGTCGGTCTTGGACCGGTATGGACCGAAATCTCTTTGACTGAACCCAAAAAGACCGATTGGACCGATTTTTTATTTTTTTTTAGTTGAATTTTTTATATCTTATACAACCTAATAGAGAAGGAGACCAGGGAGTAGGATTACAGAGAAGGAGACGAGGGAGACGAGATGAGTCGTACCTGATTTAATTGGGATTGAGGGAGTCCGCGTCTCAGGCTCTCGGCGATTGAGTATTTCAGGAGAGGGATTCGCCGAGTTGGCACTGGCCAGTGGCCGAGAGTTGCGACTGAGGACTCTGCGAGGAGATTCGGCGCTGGCGAGTGGCGATAAAGAGGAAGGCTAATCAACGAATCTCTGCTCTCGAACAAGGCAAATCGGCGATGGACTATGGTGAATTGGTGATAGGTCTTTACAGATAAGGTTGGGCCTGAGTGGTGATTATTGAACGGATCACTTAAAATTACGAACAAGGAAGTTATCGGTCTATCTCGGTCCGGACCGAATGGCAGTCGGGTAATGACCGGACCGGAACGAAACCCGAAATTTAAAATACTTCAGACCGAAGACCGACCCGAAATCCTTTCGGTTCGGGTTCGGTCTGGACCGATCGGTCCGGTTCGGTCAATTTTTCCGGTCCAGACCTATATATGAACACCCCTACTCACTAGGACATAAGGTCATTGAAATTGATTAATTGGACTGGATATTGGATGATAATTAAGTGTTGGGCTTGGATTAGTGGATAGGAGGATAGGTATAAAAATTAAAAATAATACTACCTCCATCACAGTGTATTTGTCCAGTTTGACTTTTTCGAGTCAAACTGGACAAAATTTGAATTTCAATTACTCTAAATTTATATTGCATATTAGCATAATGAAATACAATTTTGAAAGTTGTCAACACGATAAAACCAATGAAGTCATTTTTATGTTAAAATACATTACAGTTTTTATTTAATTGAATCTCAAAGTTTGTCCAGTTTGACTCAAAAAAGTCAAATTGGACTAATACACTGTTCAGAGGGAGTAATATATTAAAACATTCTGATCCAGACCGGTTATTTCTGGCTTTTAGACTAGACTAGAACGAACCCCGGAATCCATAATTTATTAAGACTGGAGAACGAACCTGATTACTCTGGGTCGGTCCGGACTGGTCTATTCCGGTCTGGTTCAGGTCTAATTTCCAGTCCCGACGGGTTGTTACACACCCCTATTTGGGATGAAACACCAATGAAACATAAATGTTGCTTTGAAACTTTAGATAAAAGCTTGCGTGATATTCTACTCCCTCCGTCCATTTTTAATGTCCAAGATTTGACCGGGCACGAAGATTAAGAAAAAGTGTAAATGTCATTGATTTTACCAAAATACCCCCACCCCTTCTCTTTTGTTCATCAGCTCTTTTCCTCCGTCTATTTTTTTTACACGCAGCGGACCAACAGCATCCACCGGCCTAGGTTGCACGAGTTTGGCGGTTTGGTGCCGCCTCCCGCTCCTGAAGCGACGCGGGGACGGATTCGCCGGCGGGTACAGCGACCGGCGAACCGAATCTGCATCTCAAGCTTTGGAATTGTCTGCGTATTCAATAGGACGGATCCGGAAACTCAGAGACGAATCCTACCACCTCCCGCTCCGCGACGACCTCTGACAGCCGCCATGCTGCTCCGCGGCTACCTTTGACTGCTGCCTCACCTCCGACCCCTACGATTTCTAAAATTTTCAAATAAATTTGAAAAAAAAAGTTTCATAGATCTAGAAAAAGGAAAGAAGGTAGCGAGCAAAATATTCAGGGATAAGAAAGAAGAGAAGAAGAAGAAGAAGAAGAAGAAGAAGAAGAAGAAGAAGAAGAAGAAGAAGAAGAAGAAGAAGAAGAAGAAGAAGAAGAAGAAGAAGAAGAAGAAGAAGAAGAAGAAGAAGAAGAAGAAGAAGAAGAAGAAGAAGGAAGAAGAGTTGGTGGCTAAGATTGGTGGAGATGACAGACGGATGGAGGTGATAAAGAGGTGAGGTGAGGAGACGGATGGTTATGGAGGAAGGTTTGGTGGAGAGATAAGGTTTGAGTTGAAGGGCAAATATGACATTTAACTTAAACTTTTTTACTAAATAAGGAAACATGAACTTTATTTGTGGACGGACGAAAAAGGAAAGTACGAACATTAAAAATGGACGGAGGGAGTATAATTTTCTAATCAAATGAGTGAAAATCAAACGTTTGGAGGAAAAAATAAACGTCTTTAGTGGAGATTTTTATCAAATATTGCCGATAATTCCAAATTGAATCTAGCAAGATATGGTTAATTTAGTGATTAATTCTTCTCACTTTTGGATACATTGTATTGTGTTGCTTTTAACAAAAAATATGAGGTTGCAATCCATAATTTATGAGTTTCAATCTACAATATAAAGAAGTTTTTCCAAAATTTGCACTCCCTCCGTCCCGTTATATTCGTCCACTTTTGACTTTTGGAACTGTTCATCTAAGAACTTTGACTCATCAAATTCTCTCAATGTGTAAGCCTAAATATAGTCATGCGTGATCTTGTTTGATTTGTCTTAACATATAGATTATTACTCCCTCCGTCCGGAATTAATGTTCCCACTCTATGCTTTTTTTCGTCCGGAAATAAAGTTCTCATTCTACGTTTTTATACTCATTCTTCCTAAAATACCCTCTCATTGTCCAAAACTCACTCTTCCTCTTCTCCCCCTCTCTGTCCCTCTTTCCCCCACCCTCCCCCCTTTTCTTCTTCTCCTTTTTTTTCCCGTTCCATATTCCCGATCTGCTTCTGTATGTCCTCCTTCACTTCAATCTTCTTCTTCTCTCTCCTATTCCCCATCTTCTCCTTCTTTTCTTCTTCTCCTTTCTTCTCCGTTATTTTTTCTCGATTGGCACCTTCACTCTAGCTTCTGCTTCTCTTTCTAGCCAGATCTGCACCTAGGTTGCACGGATTTGGGTCTTCACTGCCGCCTCCCGCACCACAATCGTCGCGGGCAGAGCTAACGGTGGTGGTGTGGATTAAGTCATTGGGGCGATTGGAAGCTGGGGTACGGTGGTTGTGTGGGCTTAGGGGATGGATAACAGGGGGGAAGGGTATTGTGGATATTTCCATCCCAAAGTCAATTCCTAATAAAAATAACCAAAAGTCAAAATGGGTACTTCAATTCCGGACGGAAGGAGTAATATATAATTTATATAATTTTTTAATATACAAATTACAAAATAAAATGGATTAAAAAAGTGTATTAAATGGTGTGCAAAAATGAAAGTGGACAAATATAGTGGGACGGAGGGAGTAATTCATATTGCTTAAAATGAAAGAGATACTCCATCCGTCCCTAAATAGATTACAATCTTTTTTTCTCTCTCCTCTCGATATCTTTTGTTTGTTTACGTGATTTCATTAAGTATTTGATAAAATAAAACATTCTTGTCACCTCTTATTTTGTAGAACTTTTGACGTAGTTTTTTAATATGCAATTTTTATATGTTATTGATGTACCAATTTATAAATAAAATGATTTCAAAAAATAAGAAATTTTGCTCCGTAATCTGCAATTTGTAATCAAATTGGGAACGGAGAGAGTAAGTCATTTACAGCTCTATGGTTTATAGTAGTATAGTACGGAGTACTATCCTTTATATATATAAAGCAGAGTCGGATCTATAAGAACGTGACATTTGGAAGAGCTAAAGCGCGACATGTGGCGAGCTGATGTGGTGACATTTGGCAAAGCTAAAGCGCGACATGTGGCAAGCTGATGTGTCACCCTTTTAGACAAACCGATCGGTTTGACCGGTCAGACCAGTTCTTTTTTTACAATTTTTTTCCAAAAGCATACCACCATGAGGTTTGAAACAAGGATCTTTTGGTCATTTAGTTGAGTTCCTAACCATCCAAGCTATGGTGTTTTTTGTTACAATCTCACTTAAGCTTTTATAATGTTTCATAATTAAAAAAGGATTGTATAAAAATTTCTTTTTAGTTATAAAGAACGTGACATTTGGAAGAGCTAAAGCGCGACATGTGGCGAGCTGATGTGGTGACATTTGGCAAAGCTAAAGCGCGACATGTGGCAAGCTGATGTGTCACCCTTTTAGACAAACCGATCGGTTTGACCGGTCAGACCAGTTCTTTTTTTGCAATTTTTTTCCAAAAGCATACCACCATGAGGTTTGAAACAAGGATCTTTTGGTCATTTAGTTGAGTTCCTAACCATCCAAGCTATGGTGTTTTTTGTTACAATCTCACTTAAGCTTTTATAATGTTTCATAATTAAAAAAGGATTGTATAAAAATTTCTTTTTAGTTATAAAAAATATAATCCTTTAATATAATATTTGAGATTCCGTTTGCTAGAAAGTCACCAAGTGTCAAGCTTATGTGGGCTATATTAAGGTGAGATGGCAAGTCTTTATTGGTTGCTTATGCGGCAAATTTTATTAATGATGAATTGACCTTTCTTTTTATTTTAAAATAGATATTTAAAAATGATTTCAAATTTTGGAAAAAATTTACGTTAAACAAATAAAGAATTCATTACTTCGTGACATTAGTTGAGTATTTATATTTTTTATTTTTAAAAAGCAATTCATCTATTTATTTGTTATGATGTGATAAAATTAATTATGTTATAAAATCAAACTTGTGAAAGATAAATATAGTATTGTCCGAAATAAAAATTTTAAAGGAAAACAATTATATAAAATATAATTTTATGATAAAACTTACTATGATGTAGCAAACAATTAGTGAAAATATAAAATTGGTATTATCATCTACCATTTCAAGACTAGCATTTTTTATGAATCAAATTTTTAACTAAGTGCATACACAAAAAACAAAATTTTGATAATGATATATTCTCATTTAAAAGTATTCTTATAGAAAAGGATCAAATATGTTTATAATTGATCCTTTATTTATAAAATTGATATATTAATCTTTAAGAAGCTGAGATGTCATATTGTTTAAGAGACATTTCTGAGACGTAAAATATATTATAGAAATTAAGAAGTTAATACTATTGTATGAAGTCCTTCGGTACAATTAATTATGGAAGAGAATATAGATATTCGTTTTATAATAAATTATTTTCTAATTATGTATAATTTTCTATTCAATTATTACAAAACTTCTAAAAGTGTGTTTGGTGAGCAAAAAAATATGAGTTTTGAATTTTGATATCTCTAGATATCCTTATCCTTTTCTGGTGTTTGGTGAAGCCAAAAGAGTTATCAAATTTAATATCTGCAGATATCATAAATCTTTAAAATTGATGTTCTCAATATCTCTCGAATTTAAGAGATATCAATATGGGGGTTTGATATCTCTCTCAACTATTGATCATTCTTCGTCACTCGCTACCATTATCGCTACCACACAACCACCGTTGCCAGTCACCTTTTCTTATCACTAATTAAATCATGAATTTAAATCTCTCCAAATAAAATCATTTTAGATTACAAAGTCCATATCATTTTCCTGAGTTTTCATAACCCACATCTTATAATATCTTCAAAATTCACCAAATTGGCCATAATCAATTAATAAGATATTTCTTCACTTTAAAATAAATTTCATATTTTTATGATATATTTAAATCGAAGCAGTCAGTTTTATTATATTTATTAAAATATGAGAAGATTAGAAACACTTATTTTAAAACTACAATGAAACTTTATAAAAATGAGAAGATTAGAAAATAAATTGTTAAAGCACGTAAAATATATTAGACTTTAAAGTTGTTGAGATAAAAAAATTTTTTTGTACTCAATAGCTTGGTTTTATATTTGCAATTACTTCAGACACAATTTTGATGTCAACAATTGTGTCTTTTATCAAATTGCATTTTTAATTCTCATATTTTGATTATATTATATTCGTAAGAAATTTGAGAACCAGATATACGTAATATGAATAAGTACACAATTTAGGGTTTAGAAATTGTATCGGATGTAATTAGAAATACATGACTCATATGTTGAGTATGAAATAAATGTACTATTTCATCTAATTAGAAGTTCTAATTACGTTAAGGACTATTTTAAAATTAAAATATTTTGTAGGGATGACTTTATCAAAAAAATATTTTACAGAGGTTAAAAAATTTCTTATTTTATAGGGTATAAAAACATATTTAAACCTATTTTTATTATATTATAAAAGACAAATGATTAAAACAAAATATATCGTTGGGACTTATTATGTTACACTAACATTATTTATGATTTTATTATCATTGAGTACATTTAATTAAGAAAGAGAGATATTTATTTTTTATTAGAATATTGTTTTAATTTTTTTTCGTTTCATTTATAATAATAGTTTCAATGAATAAATAAACTACTCTCTTTATCTTTAACAAAATTTCATATTTCTTTATGTTATGATTAAGAGAATTTAGCTTTAATTTATTCCATTTATTTAAATAGTGATGTGAAATAACAAATACTTCTTAATCCCTATATTAAAATTATATATATTAAGTGTTTAAACCATACAGAGTATTATTTAGCAGGATTATTTAATTTGACTTTTGTACTTTATCTTTCTAATTTGACCTATTATTTTAATCAAAGAAGGTTTGCACTGTAACTTACCATATTTAAGATGTAACTTAACATTTATAAATTTATATTAGGTGATAATTCACTATACTGATGCACGAAAATAAAAAAGACGGGTGAAGTATGGCTCGATTCTCTTTTCTTCATTTTTGCAATCATACAAAGAAATTTAAAAATATGATATTCTTAGAGATGAAGCGATATATAACATGGACTTTCACAAAAAATATTTCTATAAGGAAATTAAGATCTCGAGGTCGAGAAACGCGTGAAGATCTGTGACAATTAAAATTTAGATGCAAGGATAATCAGTAATTTAAGGAGAAGTACGAAGAATATCTTATGTGCAGAAGTGAATAAGATTTAGGTTAAACTACAACATCAAAGAGAAATATAATTTTTAAATTGTAACTCTTTGTATTTTATAAAACATTATGTATTGACCAAAATACTTTCACACACTTAAATGATTTAATATTTAAAAATTAAGCAAAAAAAGAGTAAAAATTGTGAAATAGTTTTTGTAAAATTTCATTAAAATCATAGAATCACTAATGTTTTTTTTTTGCATTCACATAATTTTTGAAATAATACGAGGGAGAATAATCATTATATTTTAAATGTATTGTAAGATTTATATTTCTTATCATATGATTGTTAATTTATGTTTTCATACTTTTAATAATACAAGAAAAAAGAGTCAATTTTTAATTAGTGCAAAGGGCCAAGGAGAGAAAGAATAACATTAATGCATCATAGAAATTAAAATCATATATTTCCATTAATGTAAATTATTAATCTGGCGGAGAAGAATCATGATTTTTTTATATTAAAATTACAAGATCGGAAATCTAAGTTTGTTAAATAAATGCGGGGGAGAAGAATAATAAAATCATCAATGTTTTTGTCGTATATTTTTTGAATTCAGGGGGTGAAAAGAACTATCGTATATATTTGTAATAATTTAGTAAACCTAGATTTTGTTATTGTATAATAAAAAATAATTTCGTTCCACCCGTGCATGGCACGGGTTAAAATACTACTCCCTCCGTCCTAATTCTTTCTTCCCAGTTTGACTTTTCCCTATTTTTAATTTTTGGCTTTGACTTCAAATTTTACCCTTCTTAAAAAAAGTTTTTTTGAAATTTTTTTTACAATCATTCAAAATATAGAGTTAGAAGATAATTGGTGTAAATACATGAGGGTATTAATGTCATTTGTCATCTTTTTTTTCCTAATTGTTTAAAATCAGAGAGAGTAACATACAAAAGTTACATGATGATGTGGCGTTAATTCGGTTATTTATTTTACGGATGGACAATTTGACACATAGACATGCTAGAAAATTCTAGAAGTCAGGGGAAGGAATTGAAGAACTGTAGAAGAAGCATATAGAACCCCTCGTCTGGAATGTTCTCAGTCGTTCTTTTTATTGTCTAAAAAAATCCATCAATCCTCTCCTCATACTCGGAACCAATTATCCCTGCTAATCACTCATTTCATCTAAAGTTAGGTGTGATTTTGCAATCATCGTCGGCGAAGATGAGCGCGGTGGTGGATGCGGTGGCTCAACTCCTCAACATCCCCGGAGCGATCGACAGAATGATATCGCAGGCGCAAGACGGCGGCGTGAGCAGGGGATCCGGCAACATTCCGGTCGACATTCTCGACACCTCGAAGGAATACATCTTCTACCTCGACGTTCCCGGCCTATCCAAATCGGACATTCAGGTATGTATGCACTCGTAATCAGTACCGATTTCGATTTTCTAGATCTGTAGGAACAAGACTAGATCGGGAGATCTGAGAGCCAATTGGTTCGGATTCAGGTGGCGGTGGAAGACGGAGACACGCTGGTGATCAAAAGCGCCGGGAAGAGGAAGCGGGAGGACGGAGAGGACGAAGGATGCAAGTATCTGAGGCTGGAGAGGAAGGCGGCGCAGAAGTTGATGAGGAGATTCCGGCTGCCGGAGAACTGCAACGCCTCTGCGGTCACGGCGAAGTGCGAGAACGGGGTGCTGACTGTGGTGGTGGAGAAGCACCCTCCGCCGCCCAAATCCAAGACGATTGAGGTGTCAATCTCTTGATCAATCCCTATTGTTGCTTTTTTGCACATTATTATTATCAGTTTATCACTATGAATATGCAGCAATAGTTTCAAAGTTGTAGGACCGATCTTGTGTTTCATTATGACTAGCTGTTTGGTACGGTTTTTCAAGAACTCTTCCCCATATTTGCCTCTGCTATGGGTGTTATTATGTTCAAGCTAAATAGAATTTGGTTTAATTCTGATAAAGTCGAGCTGACTCATTATGAAAACATTTTGAGTAATTTTTATATGAATTGCATTTTCGATTAAATATTTTTTGTCCATCTAAAATGGATGATTTTTATTTTTGGTTCCATTAAAATATCTTTTTGTCAAGTAATCTTAACAAAGTTTTTATATTTTTAAAATAGTTCCCAAATATATTTTATAATTTTAATAGTTCCCAAATACAATTTATAATTTTAATTTGTTGAGATAATACATTTATTTCATAGCTCTCATATATATATATATATATATAGGGGTTAGTTCCTGTAAGAATGACTCTTGGTGAAAGAAATGAGAATGAATATCACTCCTTAGATCCATTGCATCCAGCGGTCATGATTAGCTCCTTCAAAAAAACAATAACTCCTAATAATTATGGTAGGTTATAATTATTATAACGTAGAAAAGGTAATTAATTTTTAGAGGGGCAAATGTGTAATGTTATATTGCAATGATTTCTTCGTTTATTCACCATTTAGAAATACACGTGTCTTTACAAATATAATACTCCAAAGTTTAGAAATGCATTAATTGCTATTGTTTTGTAACTGGTTTCAAATTTTGGTTTCAAATTTTGCCTCATTAATTAGATATTTGTTCTACTCAATTAATTTCTTTGCCCATTGTTTTGTTGAAAAAAGCATTCTGACTATGTTGTGGTGCATAACTGTGTGGTGGCACAATGCATATATGTTTGTGAAGGGATCATTTATGCAGTCAATGACTTCATCATGCATTATATCCATACTTTTTATTTCCAAAATTGTTGTCAATGACTCATGAGATGAGATATGAGACAGTATGTGGTTTTAATTTATTTAACTGTTTCTGATGATTAAATTAAAATGTGGTTATATATTGATTTTATTATATTAATGTAGCGTGTAATCTAAAGAATGCAATATTTACCTATAAAATATGCAGATGCATTGTGATAGGCAATATTTACCTATAAAATATGCAAATGCATTGTCAAGGCCAATAATTTCTAGCTATATAACAAGTAAAACCAAATAAAAAGTTAAAAAGAAATAAAATAAAAGTAACAATGTGAAGTACATAATTTCAAAAAGGTCCAATGAATATGCAGTAAATTATCGAGTGTGGTGGTATACGCAAAACAGAGAACAAAGAATGCACCAAACACTAGAGTATGATGCATACAAAAGAATATAAGGCCAACATGATTTATCACCGAAATTTCATGCAAAAGAACAACATGAAAGATATACAAGAAATTGGAGTACTCCCTATTAAACATAAAACACAAATCAAATTTATTTGAAGATCTTATAAATAAATATGAATTGAAAATAGCAGTAGATTCGAGCATGTTGTATGCTGTTAGTGATTGCATTAGAATGTGGTGGGGAATTAATAAAAATGGACCTTGCATTAGCATTTACAATCTGAAAAAGAAATATTTTAGAATATATGCATCTGCCCTGAGAAAAAAGAAGCATAACCCAAAATCCCAAATACCTAATGCAATCCCTAGAATTCACAATTTATGGGAATTTTAAAATAGCAGCAACACAAAAAACTTGAGAGATATGGGAAAAATTAAATACAGAATTCATTGAAATACATAACACAACAAATAGGAATAGAAAAAAATACATAATCTAAAATGTACACATAAAGCAAGAGATCTAGAATTCATAAATTTACAAAGTTATGGATTCAAAGAGTAGAAAAATAGATTCGGAATTCATAAAACTACAAAAAGTTAAAAATTTATGAACACAAAAATATATTCAAAAATAAAATAGAGATTTGATGCTAAATTATTAATTTTTTAAAAACAAAAAAAATTGTGAATCTTATTGTAATTGTGATCTATCCAAAAATGACTTAACATGTACCCGAATTAAAACTTGTATCCCTCCAAGATTTGATGTACGAACCCTAGAAATGTTCGACATCTCTCTGATCAGCAGTTAGGCTAGATCTATTCATGGCAAAGGGCTTTCGTTCACCTCCGGCGTAACAAAACGATTCCCTGGCATAATTGATCGAGGGAGAGAGAGAGATAATCAATGAATAGCTAATTTTGAGGAGATCAACGCATGAAGAGAGGATATAGAAACGGAAAGTCTATGGAAAATACAAAAATGCCCATTTTAATTGTCGAATATAGCAGGGCTGAGTTGCTCCATCCAAAGGTCCAGATTCATTCTTATTTCTTTCATAAGATCTTATTCTCACCAGAACCAAAACCTATATATATATAAAATAAGCATTGATCTTGTAAATCTAACGGCTCTCATTTATCTAAAAAACTTAATTGAGATTAATTACATTTAATGGGGTGTGCTAATTTATGCGTAATTCTAAATGAAAAGGGCAAATTAGGAAAATAAATGGCCAGCCCTATCATCCACGTTTTAGCACAATACCACGTTTTTAGCCTTTAATTTGTTTTTCAATTTAATGGCACGTCATTTATGGTTTTTAATAAATTGATTCAAACTGTAAAGCCACAACATCCATGTTGGGGTATCCCTCCTACATGGAGGAAAGAGTTCCTAAATTATACATTTGGTGTTAAAAATGTAATTGGTTTAGAGTTAGTTACTATAATAATAATAATATTAATTATTATTATTATAAAGAAAAATAAAGAAAGAAATGGGTCAAAGTGGTGGGGGCTACCACTTACCTTTGGGGCTGCCATTTTGTAGAAAAGGCAAAGCCTTTGTTTTGGCTCCTTACGGCAGAATTGAGCAGCCGAACAGGGCATAAACAGAGAAGAAAAAAGGGGTGAAACCGAGAGAAGGAAGAAGGGAGAAAAAAGAGAGGTGCAGCCTGGTTTTGTGCTCCGATCGACGACCAAACGAGCTCCGATCGGGATGAAATTTTAGTATGTTGCTCCTGAGATCCTCTTCTTCATATCCAACGGTGGGATTGTTGTTTTGACCTCTCGATGTCGGTAAAATCGCCTCTGTTTACTGCTGCGTTTTTGTGTGGATTTCTCACTTTTGAGTGAAGATTATTGTTGTTTGGTGTTCCAAGTTGTTGCTTGATGATTGTGTATACCTCTAATTGATTTAGAGAGGATTCTTGGTGTACCCACTGATTTTCTTGGTGATTAGTGGAAGGGTTCGTGGTTTTTTCCCCGATTTGGGGTTTCCACGTTAAATCTTGGTGTTCGTTTATCGCTTGATTGATTGCTTGTTGTCGTGTTTGCTATTCTTGATCGTTCATATGATTTTGCCCATTTTGACAACACAAAGACGGGAAAATTATTAATTGCTTCCGCTAGAAAATTGAGGTGATTTTCCCAACAATCCATGTGTTTTTGGATTTAATTGGTTTAATTATATCTCACTTTTCTATATTTGTCAGGTAGAAGGGTCCCGGGACAGCTTAGAAATTCTTTATTTTGCATATTATTGCTTTATGAGAATCCTTTAGTTTTCGCGAATGGAGTCCAAAAATGTTCTATTTTTGAACGTTCGAAAATAGCCCAAACCACATGCAACCTTTCGTTGTTTTGACACATCTTCTGAATGTATGTGTCTGTCTCATCATGGCTCTGTTCTATTTTTGAACGTTCGAAAATAGCCCAAACCACATGCAACCTTTCGTTGTATTGACACATCTTCTGAATGTATGTGTCTGTCTCACCATGGCTTTTTGTTTTTATAAATATAGAGGTGTAGATGTGCATTGAGACACAAATTCAAAGTGCTTGTTCTTAATTAACGTCTTATTCACGCGATTGAAGTATTTTGGTATATTCCAAAATAACTTTGATTTGAAAGCATGTATGCGATTCGTTAACTATGAACATCTTTTATTTATTACCGGAGTAATAAATAAAAATAGTCATTAGATAACATTTTCAAAATACTAGATCTCTAACACGTACGTTGCACGGTCAGTAATTTGGGACAGTGAAAAAAAATTAAATTTATAGTATATATAAAAATAACGAAACAAATTGAATTCAATATAAAGATTAAAAGCATTACATACTAATATTGAGGAATTAATAGTGAAGACAAAAAAATAAATTAAAGGTTCTGAAAAATTTCATTATACGCTACATTCCTTGTGGCATTTGAAAGGGAGAGAATAGTTGTGTGAGAGTAAATAGGAGTTCTAAATACTTTTAAATGGTTAGTTAGGGACCCTTTAAATGACGATTTTTTCAAATATCTTCGATTTTCAATGGATGCCCTCAGTAAATGCCTTAGGATGTACCCTTTCTTTTATTGATGGCTTGTTCATTAAATGCTTCATATATCAATGCTCCATTAAATGTCTAACAAAGTTGAAAATTGTTGACACTATTACACTATGTTTGGTTCAAGGATTTTGTTAGGAAAAGAAAAGGAAATGATTTTCTCACACTTTCCTCATTAAAATGGAAGGAATTTGGTTTTCCTTTCTTTTAATACATTTTGCCTTCTTAATTTCTTTTTCTCCCACTTTTCCTTTCTAACCAAACACTAAAATCAGTTTTCCACTTCGTTTTCTTTTCTTAGATTCAAAATCCTTGAACCAAACATAGGGTTAATGTAGGTTTGGGTGTGTGACTTAAAGCAAATAATCAATTGCTTTTACTTTAAGCAGCAATTACTTCATACTTTTTTATTAATTTAGACATAAAGATTGCTTTGAGCCACACATTTTTTTTCTCGAAAAACATAAAGCATGCATTTTCAAGTTTTTCTTTCTCTTTTTTCCATACAGATTAATGATGAAGCACGCAGTTTTATGGCCACACATCCAACTCTCCATATTAAATGCTTATATTTGTTAATCTTTTCTTTTACTCGATTAGACATAAAGATTGTCTTTAATCACGCATTTCTTTTTGTCAAATCTCGAAAACATAAAGAATGCATTTTTCAAAATTTTGTTTTTTCATTTTTCCATAAAGAGTAATGATGAAACACATAGTTTTATGTCTACACATCCAACTCTCCACATTAAATTCATATATTTGTTAAATCTTTTCTTTTATTTAATTAGTTATAAAGATTACCTTGAACCACACATTTTTTTCTCAATTCTCAAAAACATAAAGCATGCATTTTTCAAGCATTTTGTTTTTTCGTTTTTTCCATAAAAAGTAATGATAAAGCACGTGGTTTCATGACTACACATCCTACTCCCCACATCCCCCTTATATAATAAGGCTCTATTTTGTTAGCCTTGGTTCTTTTGCCGTTTACTTTTCACTCTTGCACTAACGGGAGTAACGGCGCAATATTCTTATCACTCTTAACTATCAATTCTCATCCTCTTTAATTTTCCTTCTTACGCACTTGTATTTCAATTTAGATTTTTTTGCTTTAGTGATGATTTGGTGTTGGAGCATCATATTATTGACCAGTTTTCAGGTGGAAATCAAAATAATTGAGTTAGATTCAACATTCAATTCCATTTTGTATGTAAGCTTGAAAAATTAAAAAAAAAATTATTTAAATATGACCAAAACATAATGACTTTCTTAAAATGAAAATCATATGTTTTTATTTTTCAATGTAGGACTTTTGGTAATTATCAAGTTGTCATTATTCAAGTAAATATCTAAATTGGAAAAGTCATTATATTTTAATCCTATTTGGTGCAAATATTACAAAATTAATTTATTTTCTATTTCAAAATTCTTAAATCGACTATAATTCTTGAATATTTTTTTAATAGTGTTTTAAAAATAATTTTTTATTCTTAATTATGACTACCAAACTAAGTTAGATTGGAATTTGAACTCTTCTTTGCTTGCATTGGTCGATCTATAAGCAATCAGTAGGGGGCGAATGCCCCCAAATAATTTTTTATACAGTATTATATTAAAAATTAATTTTATAGTCCATTGAAAAAAAGAAATTCCATTTTAAATAATTAAATGAGTATATCTACCCCCAATAAACTAAAATATCCTAGTCCAAACAAATGTACTCCTATACTCCTACTCTATCACGATCTACTTCGTGTATTTATTCAAAACACTTAGCTCATTATAATGCATGTTTACTATTCACAGGGTCAAACTTCATTCACTTTCTTTCTCTATTTTTGTTAGCAATTTGATAAAATAAAATATTATTATCACCACAAGTTTTGTAGATCTTTTGATGTAATTTTTTAATATGTAATTTTTATTTTTTAGTTCTATACCATTTGTCATATAAAATGGTTTGAAAATAATTTCAGTCAAACATCGTAAACCGAAACAGTCATTATAAAATGGGACGGAGGTAGTATATTATAAATGTAAAAACTTATAATTGTTGTGAACTCAGTAATTCATTCATCATATACGGGGGTATTTATACATACACGGGAAGAGGTATAGTATAGGTCAATAAGGAAACAATATATTCTAAATAGAATGAGAAATATATCTGCCATATTTAACACTCCCCCTCAGATATATCATCATGCATTATACACCAACAACATTATGCTACTGGATAATGTTGGTTAGGTTCTTCAGGACCTATATTAACTGATACTGCAGGATCAGTTATGCTGCCTCATTAAAAACCTTATTAAGAAAACCCAATGGGACAAAACTTAGTTAAGGGAAAAAGAGTACAGCGTATATAATATTTTCCCTCAAAACAAAATTATACTCCCCCTCAAACTAATTTATCTCTTTTAGCTTGCGAAGTCCAATCTTCTTCCTGAGTTGCTCAAAATTGTGTCTAGGTAGAGATTTGGTGAATAAGTCCGCCAAATTTTGCTTGATTTAACTTGAAGAACATTGATCTCTCCTTTATGCAGATCAGATGTTGAGAAAAAATTTGCTGAGATTTGCTTCGTTCTGTCTCCCTTGATGTAGCCTTCCTTGATTTGAGCTATGCATGTTGCGTTATCTTTATATATAATCGTAGCATTCTTCTTGATTTCTTTCAAATTATATGCTCCTTGTATGAGATTCATCAGCAATCTCTACCACGCTCGCTCTCGATCACTGTCGTATAATGCTATCAGTTCGGCTTGATCACATGCTGTTGTTCGTGCTTGCTCAGTCGACTTCCAAGAAAAGTTGTATCACCATAGGTGAACACATTACCTGTCTAATTTCACACTTAAATTTGGTACTTCAAGACCAAGTACTTCTTCGCCCTCTTCTAGGAGGCGAGTAGAATGTTATGTGTGTATATATATGAATGAACAACCATGGGTATGTTCAAAAGACTAGCTTTATCCATATTTCAACGTGTTAACATCTTCTGGACGTGGTTTAACTTATGGACAAATGGGCTATCATA